AAGAGAAAGGTGAATCCTAATTATTTTTAAAAATTCTCCACACAGAGTCAAAACAGGTTTATTGGCATTTGCTTTGAAATGATTGCAAACTTAACTTGAATATATCTCCACATATACTAAAATATTATAGTATGCAATAGTATTCTGAGACTAAACAACAAAAGAATGTGACTTACTGTAGGCCAAGGCCATCAGTTGTGTCAAAAATAATGGGTTCCCTGAGCCCTTCTCTCTGGATGTATTCAAATGTGAAATCTAGAAAGGAGGCAAACAGTCAACAACAATCCTAAACTTGCATTGGGTAGAACTGCAACAATTGGTTAATTAATCTTTTGTCAACAATTAAATTAATCGCAGACTATTTCGATAATCAAACCACTTTTAAGAAAAAAAAACTTTGATCCCAGCTTCTTAAATGTAAATATTTTCTGGTTTCTTTACTCCTCTATGACAGTAAACTGAATATTTTTGGGGTGTGGACAAAACAAAACATTTGAGCATGTCATCTTGGGCTTTGGGAAACACTGATCAACATTTGTCATCATTTTCTGACATTTTATAGACCAAACAACTAATTGATTACTCAAGAATATGATCGAGAGACGAATCGATAATTAAATGTGTGTTAGTTGCAGCTCTAGAAGAAACCCAAAGTTAAGGCAGCAAATCTTAAACGAACTAGTATGAACTGGCAGAGTAACTTTTATCCGGGCATCATAGTGTGTAAAACAAACAGGTAGCCTTGGCATTACATATGTTCAGGTATTGTTTTATAGAAATTATATTCCAAACATCTCTCTGAACATACTAGTTGAAAGCTCTCACCTTTGCCCTCCATGTGTTTGATCAAGTCAGAGCTAAACCTGACACACTGCAGCTTTTCATCCAGGTCAAACGTTCGTTTCCCTTCAATTTCATCATCTGAGATTCCATCGTCCTGGTAGCGGCGCCGCGTACCTGTACGCTAAGGAACAAAAAACAAACGGTTTCTGTTAACCTCTACGTCACACACAAACAGAATGATTTGTAATGAGCAACAGAAGGAGAATGGGAGGAGAGGGAAAGAATAACTGGCAGTGAGAAATATGGGATCTTAGTGCACTGAAGACATTTCAGTGCTGTGATGAAGCTGGGTTATAGCAGCCTATCAGACAAACGGCAATGCTGATGTCAAGAGTACATATGTAAAAAGTTACATAATAAAAAGGCCTCAAGGCATGAACATTGGAAGATAAACATGTAAGTAATAACTACTATCACATGGATCCTTTTCTACCAAAGTAACCTTGTTATGATAAACTAGTTCTGATACACAAGTACAATTGAATCAAACATAGATGGAGAAATCCAAGCAACCTCTGATACTCTGCATAATGTATATTTAAAATGTTCTTACTGGAGTCTAATTGCTAAGTCTTGAAGTGACACCCACGGGAGCTGTCCCTCATATCACAGAGGTAAAAAGGAACTAAAACTGCTGTTAGTGACAAACATATTGCTTTTACTCAAGACAAGGACAAAAATCACAATAAATCAGTCCAATTTGATCAGTCAGCCAGCTACCACGTAATTTCATGTGGGAACTAAACAATACAGCGTTACAACAGCAGGGGTTAATCTTCCACACACAGCCCCCATTTTCCTCCCCTCCTGCCATTCACCCTATGCAGAACTGCTTGGCTAGACAGATGGATCAAGAACAACACCCCCGCTCTCAGATCTCCCCACCCCCATCCCTTTAACACAAATGTGGTTTTATATAAACTCTAATGCTCCTTGCTTTCACAACTGTGGGATGCACAGCAGCTATTCATTTTCAAGCAAAACAATTAAATATTATGTTTTCATATAAAGTAATAAACACAGAAAGGGAATCAATTCATTACAATTAAGCAACCATTTATTGGGTGCTTTTATTAAGTTTTAGCGTAGGCCTGGACATGCTTTCCAAAACAGTAGAAATATCTTTAGTAAATGTATATTTATAAATCTTTTGATCTCATTACACCAACAGCTAATATCAATAATATTTTTCTACTAGAGTACACACTGGGAAGTTTGAAAGCATCGAGTTAATTACTTTAACGCAAAGGGATGAGAATGTAAGGAGGTAAAGCAAGGTCACACAGCTCAAATCCAGTCAGGTTAGACAGTGAACTTGACCTTCTCTTGAACCCAAAGTCTTTAGACAGGTTTATTACCGTTTAGTTAATAGGACACGCACATTAGACACAATGTGCCAAAATAAAACGGGCCATTCCTATCAAATACAACGATGTTCAGTCACTAGATACCTTGGTGTGCATTGACAGGGCAAATGTTACGCATACACTTTGGACAAAAACACCTAACAGTAGCATTGTTAACACAAAACTAGTGTCCCGGGCAGCTAACACAGTTTGAGCAAGTTACTCACCAGGCGTTTGCTGTACCGTGTATGAGGATCCTCCATAATCTCTACAAGAGAAACAAAGTTTTGGGAGCGGTTTTAAGTTACAATGATTAAATACCCAGTCGGTGTTTACATATTTCAGTGTGTTTTCACATTCTGTCAGACAGAAACACACACCTCTCTCTGAGTAGAGCCTAGCTACATAGCCATGCTAACGTTAGCAAACAGTGTTGCCTTAGCCAGCAAGCTAAGGTTAGCAACACAAAACATTTGTTGAATTAGCGCCACTGTATGAAGACAAGTGCCGACAAGAGCAGCCACCTTTTAATAGGAATATTCCGTACAAATGTGTCTATTTACTGACGTTATTTAGCTGGCCTTATCGGCTAACGTAAACTACTCGTACCGCTGGCGTTGACGCTAGCTAGCTAGCTATCGTTAGCATCTACACGGCAGTTGTGAGCTTCTTTATCATTACCTCTTCGTTTTAACTCCTTTTAGCCGTAGTGGTCAAAGTAATGTTTCCCAACTAGAGCGTCCGAGGCCTCTCGGTAAAGTTTCTCCCCATGTTATGTGATAACAGCTGTGTATAATGTTATGTTTGTTATTGTGCGATAAAGTTAGGAGGCTTCGAAGCTTCGAGACGCCATTTTCACCTGCTCAAAAAACACACACACATACACACGAACCAAAAAAAAAAGGAAAGCTCATGACCCACCCCCCAATTTACTCCACTGCTCCAAAGTCTTAGTATACAGCCACTCTCATTGGAGGCAGCGTGTGCTATTTAAACAAGATTAGAATATGTTAACATGCAAGTGTACTTGGTTTGTCTTCCCCGGTTTGGCGATTGAAGGAGGATTTTGCATCACTCCTAATTCCAGAAGTGGAATAAATAAATAATTTAGGTTGTAAAAGTGGCAACCCACACTATATTCCACTGCAGGGTCCTGCATTTAAAAGTTATTTATTTTGCAACAATCTACATCTATATATATATACCTATGTCTGGGTTTGGTAAATTATTCCTACCGAATTATTATAATAATTACTTCTTATTTCTATACTTGGCACAAACGCCAGTTGAAGAATGGGATGCCATCCCACAGCAGTGTGTGACCAGGCTGGTGACCAGCATGAGGAAGAGGTGCCAGGCTGTGTATGGTTCTTCCACTGACGCTTGTTAGATCAATTAAATTGCCAATATGTCTTGTTTCTTCAGATTTTAAACCCCCAAACCCCAAACAAGAGTCAACAGCAAAGAAAAGCTGTTTGGCATTGTCAGAGAAGATTTGGCAAATCTTTCATGGGCGCTATTTGCCAAGAAGCATTGTTACAAAAAGAAATGATCTACCAAACGCTAAATTCCCTTCTGGGGGACCAATACAAATCGTTTTATCAAATCTCATCACCGCTCCCCAATCCTGATTATCATTTATCCTCCACACGCCAAGTAGAAAAACGAACGCACCCTTGTGTAGACCCCGCCCCACGGTCCGATGACGGGCCGGGTCTGCCCCCGGTTAGGAAGAAGAGCTAGATGGGGGATGAAACTAGGTCACGGAAGCCTTTGATACACGGATGTTTTATCGTGCATCGCCGTACACTTGCTGTAGCATTCACACAAAGTCAAAGGGGGTCAAATAGCGTGAATCAGGCAAAGGTCTGAAGGTAAAAAGGTGTCGGGTTTCAGAAAGCCTGTCAGAATGGGTCCCTCCATCCTAACAGCGGAGCCATGTTTAAACCTCCCGACGCAGGAAGCGAAGCATACACCAACACTTGGTACAACGCACAGAAATCTTTTATTACATAAGAGGCTTTACTGGGTTGACACACAGCCAGTGAGCACAGCGACAGCCGCTGTTACAGAAAAGACTATCAGTACAAGCATTTCAGCAGCACAGACGCATACAGACAGCACACACAACAAAATCAACCACAGTTTATTAAGATTATGACAAGTCAGAAAATGCTACTTCAGTGGATATTTTTTGACAAGAGCATACTTATGTGTCTGTGCATGATAGGACGTTTGGAGCCTAGACAGCACTAACATCATCTTTTAACTTTAAGTATAAATGAATCCTTGGAAATATTTTCCAGATAATTATAATTTATCTATATCTCCCCTCCACGAGGAGGCAGTAGACTACAGCCGACCAGATTGGTCCACAGTTACTTAAGTCACACACAAAACCATCTGGCTGTGAACAGGCAGACCGAGAAAAATCTACATTTAGGCTATAACACGTTTTTCAAACACTTCATACAGCAAAAACATAATTTAAATTCAAATGATTAATAGAAGGGTAAGTGCATGGGACTGATATGGTTCAATTTATATTTATTTTTTATACTTTATAAGATTTAAAAACAGATTTAGATAATGGGCAGGGTAAAAATAAGGGGACCTCTTCAGGAAATAATCTTTTTCTTGAAACCCTCTTTCCTAGAAACAAAGACAAAAAAGGGACATTAATTCAACATGAAGTGAGAAAGAACAGAAGTGTTACAGGCTGTTACATGTCTTTTACCTGTGTAAAACCTTTTATGAGAAGAAGCTGTAGAGATAGGAGAACACAACAATTCCAATGATGGCACAGCACAATGTGATCATCATCTTTTTCTGCAGATTTAATCAGAAATACAAAGTTGTCAGACAACATCGGTCACTGGAATCAGGCTTTAATTCATGAGTCTACACACAAACGCAGCCAAGCACAATGTGATGACATTTATGTAAGGAGTGACTGAGTTAAAAGGAGAAAAAAGGGTGACAGAGGTTAGAGTGTGTTTGTTTGTGTGTGTGTAAAGAGATAAAAAAGAACAATCTTACCTCCTCTTTGACATTTGTGCACCAATCTTGAAAAACTGTACTTTGCAACAGTCAGTGGTTAACATGCTGTTCCAACAATCTGCTGACAACAGTTACTACCAACGCATAAAAAAACATCCACACAGCTCTCCCATAACATGCAGTCAACAAAAGGTGTGAGGAAAAAAATCAGTTACATATTTCCACCCTGTCACTCTCATAAGGGCGGCAGGGCAGACATGCATGAGATCGCAAGGAAACACTCAACCAGTCATTAAAAAACATAAAATCTTTAATTTCCATTAAAATCACTGGAACCTTAATTTAAGACCGGGTACAACAGCTTCAGTTATTGCAGTCCGTGTTGATGCATCCGTTAGTGGCATAAAGAAAAAGGATTGAATGGAAGCATTGGGATTGAACATTTGGTGGACAGAAGCCAAAAGGGCAGACCGCCTGTTTGGGCCTCTCACTTTCAAGTGCTCCCCACACAACCAGAATCAAAGGCACCATTAAGACTGGTCGAACAGAAAAAGACTTCCTTCAGTAATGGTGGCCCATATAATAATGCAAATGACAATTATTTCTTGACACTAGAAAACACCTAGATGTGGTCAATCGCTGTTTATTATTGATTATCCTTGTATTCACAGCTGGAATCACCTGCTTTAATTGTCACATTAAAGCCACTGGGTGACAACTTGTGCACCGAGGTTCAATACACTTGCCCGTTTAACGCTTTCACTCTACCAAGAAGAAAAGGCCAAATGAAATGATGGTGACCTATCAGAAGTAAACTTAAGTTGCCCATATATTAGGTACAGCTAGTTAAAATGAATTTAGACTAACACAACAGCCCTACAGTAATTCCTAACTTCAATTGGTTTTAGTACGAAGACTATAAAAAACATGAAGGTTATTGTGTTCAGTTTTAGTTGGAACTGTTTCAGATGCGTGTTTTTGACTTCAAGAGCTTTTTGGAGGTTGTACTTAACAGTGCTGCTGAACTCTAAACTCTTGTACTGACAGGTGTTTCTAATATTTTCTTCACCCAGTTTACATCAACGAGGCCAGACTAAATATTAGACACACCTCTTAAGTATAATGCAATACAGTTATGATACAATTCAAAAGCACCACAAACTACTGTCCCCATTAAGTTTACCCAGCATATCTCTTAAGCTGTTTACGCAAAAGCTAACCTTCATGAACAGAGGACGTATTACAGGGCTGCAGATAGCTGTACCTAATAAATTGGCAACCAAGTTGAATGTTTACAATAGAAATATTGTGACCCAAAATATGCCAGGAGAGCAGCCAGTCGGGAAAACCTTACTGTGTGTTAGAGTCCATTTTCACCTCCTACATCCTATATGTGTGACTTCTACACGTCACCAAAAAGTAAATAAATAAAAATGCTACTACCAGTGTCTTTTCAAACCCTTTGGCATTAAAATGTTATGCTTTTACAGCATTTTAACAAGGGAGACAATCATGTCTATAGATGTAAAAAGTCAAGATGGTAAACATTTTAACAGGTTAGTAAAGGTACAAAACAAACATTCTCATGCATTTCTCCCAGTTGCAGTGTTTACATAAATCATTAAGCATGGAACGCATGTTTATCCCCATAGCCTGTCTTCTTTGCTTATCTAAGGTCCATGAAATGCGTTTCCATGAGCACCATCCTTCACATTTAAAATCAATCCGAACCACTGGGCTCTCTAAACTGAAGAATCATAGGTGAGCACACTGATCCTCTTCAGGTTTAAGAACTGAGCCATATTCAGGGCTAGATAGAAAACACACAAAATAGTAAATAGTAAAATTAAAATATCTATTACATGATCATCTGAGCTTAATTACAGAGACGTACTGTGAAATGTGAAAGTACTGGAACTCCCCAAAACCAACAGAACCCCACTACAGTGAGCATACAGTAGCTAGCTTTTCAATCACAAAATGTGTCATGGCTCAAAGGCAAAAACTAAAGATACGTGGGGGGTGATGTGCTTCTATAAAGCTTCACAAGGACTTCCTGGAAAATACATATCAGATGACAAACACTTCCAGGCTGATTCTTTGGCATCGGATGTTGAACAATGAAATGTTTAGTGAACTGGAGTGATGCTTTGATCGGTTATTTTTCAATTCCCTTTCCCCTTTCGCAGCGATACAACAGGTATTATACGTCGTGTCAGCTTCAGTCTCATTTCCTCATTTGCAGCAGAGCATCCTCAAACTGTCAAAACCACTGGAGAGAGTCAAACAGACACTCACCGGACAGGACGGACCGTTCTCATTGGATAAAAGGTCAAAGCGTTTTTAGAATTATCCCATGTCTTGTAGGTCTTCTTTTTCCCCAGAGGTCACATGTAGCACTTGTCTTTGAGTTATTTTTTTTTTAAAATGATGAGGTGTACATCTGCAGGTTAAATATTATATCCATATGGAGTGATCGCTATCAGTTTTTTCTTTGGCAGAGCAGCAGATGGAGGATAGGATGGAGTGGATGATGAATAAACTGACCACACGGCGGTCCTGCTATAGTGTCTGGGTGAGGATGATGATGAGGAGGATGACAACAACCACAGCACAGACCGCACCAATTATGATCATCTTCTACAGAGAGGGAGAAACAGAGGGAGATGAAGGGAGAATAGCGTTAATCACGGGGAACATGAGCACTGAAGTGAGCCCATTGACCAAACACCGGCTTAAACAGTGTGCGACTAATCCTCCGCTAACACTGCTTTGTTTGTTCAGCGTAGGGCTTGACGATATGGCCAAAAAATTATCACAATAAATATCACATCATTATTTTAAAGGTTGATTTTTTTTCTCCTGAGTGAAAGTTGAAGTAACCTGATGTTTAGTTGTGGTTTAAACTCTTCTTTATGGTCAACACTTGAGGCCACAGTTGATCACTTCACAAATCTGAGGTAAAACATTCAAAACAACAACAACAAAAAAAGTCCTTTTTCCTCAACAAAATAAATATCTTCATAGAAAAAGTAAGTTCTAATTCATGTATGATTCAAGTGAATAGAATCAAACATTTATTGAACATTTGTTATATTGTTATTGAAAAAAATTATATTGTGATAATTATTGTTTTATTGTCCAGCCCTAGTTCAGCGGTAACCAGAGGCAAGTGCTGCAAAGTAGAAGAAAACACACACACACACACACACAGGCACTTCAAATACACACAAACACACACCTCAAGTAAGCCCTTTGGATAGAAAGAAAATACACACATAGAGAGCCTGAGGGAAAAGAGCAAACCCTTTTCCAAAGCAAGCTTCTTACCCACACCCATTGTGGCTCAAGAGAGGTTGTTTGCTCTTACTCACCCTTAGCTCTTCTCTTATTATCGCTTCAGTCCCACTGACAACCCGATTATGAGAGCTAGTACGGCCAGCAAGACCAGCACAACCACCACTATTATCACCATTTTCTGTTGGGAACAACCAAGTACACACAGTACCATCAGGAGTTAGGACCGACAATTATAGACTCTACTACTGTATGTTACGTAGTATTTGTATAAGGGAATATGTACAGTACAGTATGTGGCAACAACGGCCGTATCAAATAACAAGAATTCTCTTAGTAGCTTGGTAACTGCACAAACTCTGTGCATCAATCTTGCTGAAGTCTGATAAACCAGTTTTGTATTGGTACAACACTGTTGACTTTATGTTAACCTGTCAATACAAAGGTTTTCTTCACACACATGCGGTAACAAGCCTGAAGCTAAGAAGTCGTTTTTTACAGAACACAGAAAAACAAATAATGATGCAGCAGTCATGAGCCTAAAGCTAAGAAGCCGTTTTTTACACTACACAGACAAAAACAAATAATGATGCAGCAATCATGAGCCTGTAAACACAAAGTTAAAGCTTTTGCAAGTTGAGAAGAAAGGACAGAGAAAGAGTTGAAGCTGTGAGTGAATGTGTGTGTCTGTGTGTGTAAGTAGGACGGGGGTTTGGGTGGGTGGTCTGGGTGCTGGTCAGGTCAAAGCACAGGGGGTCCACAGCCCACAGGGTGGTGGATGCTCAGGAGCAGAGCAGGTGGGAGGGTTAGGGGTCATCACATGTGAGGATCAGGGTCTTCATAGTAGGGATTGTCTTCATGTTGTCAGGCAGGTTTCCCAAGAGCATCTTTGTGTTAAAGAGGAATTCCAGTTCCTTCTACCGTTCATAAACTACCTTGACATTTAGATAAAAACACAAGGGGCTACACAGGTGGAGATGTGTTGTTTTAGCTTGGGTGAATAACAGATCCATGAAGCTATTTATATGATCAAACACTGCACAGTGGAACTGAATATTATAACTCTTTAACACAATCACCATAATAATCATTTTATCTTTCTTTGGAATGACCACAAAGTGAACAATAGCAACACAGCGTTTATGTTGCAAATTAAACAACCAGAAACGTGTGCTTGCATATGTTTGATTGGCCCACTACCAAATTACGCCACATTGCAGTGCAGCAAAAATTGAGCCAAATGGATTGTATTATTTAATCATATTCTAATACAAGGCCAGGCTTGTGAACTTGTATCTGACTTAACCTTTATCCTTTGGCATCCAATTTATTACATTTCATTGGACTATCTCTTCTTTGTACTGCCTGTTAAAGTAAACTAAAACATCCTTAGGATTGTTCTATTGTAAATGATAAAATAAAAACAATTTCTGCTGCTTTTGGGAAACCGGGCCGCCCTTCCTGACTGTAGCCACTCACACGGCGAGCCTCTTGCTGAAACTTTGCAGCTTTCTTAGTGTCCGCTACGGCCCGTTCCACAAAGCCCACTGACTGGTCCATGTTGCTCTCAATCCTTTCAATCATCCCACCCTAACATGGGGCACGGTGTCAGGTGACGAAAAGCATAAGAGAGAGAGAGAGAGAGAGAGAGAGAGAGAGAGAGAGAGAGAGAGAGAGAGAGAGAGAGAGAGAGAGAGAGAGAGAGAGAGAGAGAGAGAGAGAAAACAAAAAGCAAAGCACACAGAATTCAACAGTTGTTTGTGAGATTGTGTCTGCAGGGTGAGGGAGTGTGAGCTGTATGCACACTGTGTGGTTTAACATGTCAAACAGTGCAAAAAAAAAGTGGAACTGTGTGTGGAAAATAAGCAAAATAAAAACAGGAGGAAGAGGTCACAAGCACACTGGTACAGCAGTTCGCTAAATGATATTACCTTTCGTGCTTTGGTCTGGTACCTTACAGCTTTTTTGGTCTGTTCCTTAGCCACTGTTATGTGGTCCACTGACTTGGATACATTCTGCTCTATGTTGTTTACTATGTCACCCTGAAAAAGAACACAACACAACAATCAGTAAGACAAAGAGCAACACATAACTTGCAGAGGAAAAGTTTAAATTAGTTGAAACACATTCAGTAATACATCTGGGGCCTTTGGGTTTTTAGTCCTACGACAGTGGTTCACTTCTTACCGGGGTACATAGACATGGAAACTTACGCTGAATGGCTAACTATGTTCGGATCAGGTTAAGTTTAAGACAAATCAACTCTATAAAAACACACAGCCTACTGACCAATCAGTTCTCTTAGAAAATTACAGATTCCGCACACTTTTATAGGCTATTTTGATGTATGCTGTGATGATGTGTCGATGGTTTTGTATACAGATATCATCCTACAACAGAGACTGAAGCACTACAGACTTGTACTTGCAGTTTTAACACATGAAAGTAAGCTTACTAACATTTCACACTTCTTGTCGCAGCTGTTAAAAGAAATGGTTTCCTTTTTATTTTTATGTTATATATTATGCATATTGTTTGTTATTCAAATTAAGTTAAATTTTTGAATTTGTTTATTATAACATTAGGTTACATTTCTTTCTTATATATTATAGACATTGGTCTTGTAGCGCTCCACTTTTTGCTATTTGTGCACATGTGAGTTTATAGTAAATGTTGAGTCTTCTGACCACTATTGGAGCACTTTTTACAGCATGAATAGTTTTTTCAATTCTTGCTTTATGAAGCTTATTTAGAACAATTTTTGGAACATTTCAGTGTGTTAAATAAAAAAAATCAGATTTTTGAAGTGAGGAGAAGTTCTTGAAAGTGAGTTGAAACCTGAGCTGAAAGAATACGGCTAAAGTCTTCATACACACTGTAAGAACACAAAGCAACACATTCATTTTATATGGCTGTTAACTCTTTTGCTTTTGTAAAATATGACTCTCTGCTGTCAGTAGACTTGTCCATGTTTGCGGTTGGTCATATTTTCATTTTATTTCAATTATTTGTTTATTTGACAGGGACAGTTCACAATAATTAGCAGCAAAAATCTGGGTTGACTTACAAAGTTATGAACCAACTTCATGTAAACCAACTTTCCTGATCGCAATTGCTACAGTACAAGGATGTCCTGGTTATGGTGAACTTGCTTTGTAGCATAGCCTCCTGGTTTCAGATGTATCAGAAATTCACAGATCACTTTTTTGCAGTTTATGGTGATTATATTCCTCCACTGAGACTGAAATGTAACTAAATCATTCATATTTATGTTAGTGCTGAATTTCTTTTTGAAACAAACTTTTTCAAACAAAAAAACAGAAATAAAAAACAAGTTTCCTGGGAAAACAAATCACACAACACAAACAGCAGTAGTGTGGCCCTTACCTCAAAGAAGCCTTTCCCTCAGAAAGCATGGTGCAAGCGGCAAGAAATATGTGGTTAGACTCACGTACGCATATACATACATACAGCGACTGACTGATCAACAATATGTGTTTGTATTCATTCTAATGTGAAGTCTGCTCTGATGTGTACAATGACGCTTTATTAGTGCATCTTACTAAACGCATTCGTGAGTTTTTCCATCAATGTTGGGTGATGAGATGGAGGTGGCAGTGGCAGAGGAGGGTAAAGAGAGAAAAAAAGGCATGGAGCTGGAAAAGAGGAAACAGAGACAGATGCAGATTGATAGTCAGACCACAGCAGAGACAAGATGACAAATAAGTAGGAGGGGGGGAAAATAGTTGAACACAAAGCCAGGAAAGGTTAAGAATGAATGCAAAGAGTGAATAAATGAATGAAACAAAGGAGAAGCTCCGGAAGCAATTGACGTTTCGATGATATGGTGGGCAGGTGGATGTAGAGAACTGTACCTGGCTCTCCACCAGCATGGCGATGTCTACAAACATATCGTGCAGCTCCTTGATGCTACTTTCCAGACGGACGATGTCTTTGTGCCTGGCTTCAATCTCACTCAGGGCTTGTTTAGAGATCCCAGAGTCCACAATCTATGGAGAGGAGAGCTTTACTGTTACCATTCAGGAACAGTGCAGACAAAGAAACATCCCTGGGTCATATTTAGTGTCTCAGCTTTAACTCTTCTGATCAGCGTGGCAGAGACTGGCCATGATCTGGTTTAGTTTAGCATCTTGGCAGAACAGAGCTCACTGACCAAGAAACATTTAAGATATAAATGTTGTAAATGGTGGCTGTGGCTCAGTAGGTAGAATCCAATAACTACAGGGTTGGTGGTTCAACTCCCGGCTCCTTTTGTCCACATGTCAAAGTGTCCTTAAACAAGACAGTGAACTCAAGTTGCTCCCCATGGTCAGGGCCATTGTACTGCATGGTTTCTTGCCACCAGTGATATGTGAGCATATGTGTAAAGTTCTAAAACACCTGCAGTCCATTTACTATATATTAAACAGGGGAACACCAACCGTCTAGTAGGCTCCCACTTCAGATCACTAAACCCAACGAAATGTTTAAATGTGTAGATTAAATTCTTGTATGCAAAACATGTTAATTAATCACTGTGCTACTGTTAGCGTTTATGTAATGTCTGACTTAGAATGTGTGCTATGCAGCTTGGATTCTGTTTTTTATAGTTTGTTCATATGAGAAAATAAATAAATATATTATCATTAAAAAGAAAATAATGGTTGCATTGCAAACATTTTTAGGGTTCACTCCCTAATTTGATTTTATTATAGCACCCAATGCTGTTCAAAAACTCAACACTTTCATATCTGTTAATGTCAAGTTGAGTCATGTGTCCTTGAGCAAGAAATTCTTCCCAAACTACCTCCTCAGCAAAGTAGGCATAGCCAGGCTTTGGTGCCGGTGCATATTTTTCTCAGTTGTTTCAAGCTGCTCAAAAACAACACAATACAGCACTCTCTGTCATGAGGCATCATTTCAACAGGCAGTCTTTGAGCATTTGATGTGGTCTCATTTGTCTGGATAACAATGCAGCTTCCCTGGTCTTTATCTGTCCCCAGTCTTTGTTTTGGAAAGCCTATTGTTTTCTGTTTTCACTGTTCTTATTGTTGTCAAGCCACCTTTACAATTGTGAGTTTGATCCTAGCGCACTTGCCATAGTTGATGTCATGCCACCTTAGGCTACATCCTTTGCCATTCCCTACATTTTCCAGGGGTGAGTTATGTTCCTTCATGCACGACTCTTTTTCTTTTTTTTTACCCATTGGCTGATACAAAAGAGGTTTGGAGCACAAATAGGCACAAGAAAGCAAACTGACAACAGGCCCAAGTCACAAGCTAATCTTTAACCAGCTGATGCAAGCTGTTTTGAGTTTTACTGAGCAACTGCCAAATTAACATTTCAACCACATCATTATCAGTTTCAAGTTGATGTTAGCTTACTGCTGAAAATAGAAGAAATGCACAAACACACACTCACCCCTGCAGTAAACACAGCAGCATTGCCGCTTTCCAGCATCTCCTCCAGTTCATCGTCTGTTGTTGCTTTTCCAGCTGCAAAGAGAAAAAGTTAATGACAAAGACGGCTGTAGGACCATCCCATGACTTCATGGCCATGTATGTGGGAAACACTCACTGATCTCTAGCTGTCTCTGAATACGTCCTTTACTCCTCTCCCTGAAGTCCACCTGGGCTTCATTATACTTTGTCATTACCTCCACAAACTTCCTGGACAGCACTGCATGCTGTTGAGACAACAGGGGAAAGGTAATTAGCATAGAAGTAATCTTCATATAAATGATATATTCAGAACATTGAATTTGACAAAAATTAGAAGATCTCAGATCCTGCAGAATATTAACTAGTAAGTCGCAACATGCAGTACATAGTGTTCACATTCTGCAAAACAAAAGGTTTCCTATGAGACTAACTTCAGACAGACATCATTTACCTGTGATTTACGTATCCGCATGTCAGCCGACACCCTCTCCTGCTCTTCTGACTCCAGATTTCTCTCGATGGCTAGGAAGCAATCCAAATGACTGATTTGTCATCATTGTTTAATTCTTCATTATCATTAAACCCACATAAACATCTCCATTATTCTCACTGACAAGGTCTGTGTTGGTGTGTGCGTGCGTGCGTGCATGCATGTGTTGTAGGCAGACTCACTCTTGAGTTTGTTTCTTGCATTGTTTGCCATCTTCTTTATGTCATTGGTGATTGCCTCCAAGTCATCCTGTGTTTCTGGGAAGTAAGAGAAGTGTGGCAGTAAAATAGCATTAGCAATGTGGTGAGAGAGTCACGCTTGCTGCAAGTACAAATAAACTGGCAATGTTCTCAAATCAATTTAACATTTAAATGATGCTGTGGAAAGATCAGCCGTATTTCGCAATGCTGGCCTCTCTTAAATTGTCAAACCAGTGAAGCTGCATTAATTTACATGTTCATGATGCTGCTTTAAGAAAGTCACGTTGTATAACAAAACGTATATTAAGGATTCACTTTTAAGTGTGGCTTTGTTTTTTGAGTTTCTGATTGCAAAAGTCAGATTTAATTTAGTTTGGGACACAAAAAATGCAAGCAACTGCAGCTTGCAAAGGAGAAACATTAGTAAGGAGTTATGGATAGGTTAGAAAACCATCCTTAATATGATTCTAAGTGAGAAGGGTTTAGTGAATACATTTTGCAGAAGAACAAAGGGCAGGTACAGGAAGAAAAGGGAATTGTGGCAAGGTATCTTACTTTGATCTGATGTGGGGGCAGACAAGATGACCGAGTAAAGCTTTTTGACCTCAGCCACGTTGTTATCAATTTTATCGATACTGTTCCTGATGTCCTCAATCTGAAACACACACACACACCTTAAACCTCAAACGTATGCAAATGACTTACAGTAAGACATTTACAAACACGCATTCCCTCATAAATACAAGTGAAGTAGTAAAAGCCACCACACAATAATGCACTTATAGTGACACTGACCTGACAGAAGAACTCATCCATAAAGGCTGCGTTGTCCACAGCAATCTCCACGTCGTCATCATCTTGATCACACGTCTAACAGGATAAAAGTAAAGGACGTATCAGAGTAGTGCTAGCAGAGTCCCAGCTGGCCAGAGAGATTAGTGTGAAGGCTATAACATATATATACAATAACCAGCAACTACTGACTTGTTTAGGTCAGCAGTCTGCAACCTGCGGGTTCTGGCTCCCTGACAAAAAGTGAATACCTTTTTTTATATTTACATTGGTCTATCATTGTTGTAGGTCCAAAGTCATCCTAGAAGTATTCAACTATAAAAACATGTAGCATATACATCAAATAAAAAAATGTATATACACTTCATCAGCTAAAATGTGCATCATCATACTATATCCTGGCGCTAAACTCAATAGCAGTGTCTTGAGTGGGTAGCCTGTTCTCCTGAGATAGCTATGGATTCAAATCTAAAAAAAATAATATCTCAGAGGAAAACAAAGAATTTAATAGTGTGTGGATAGATATGTATGCTTTCACAACTGCTGGCTTACCAGAATGTTTGATCTGTGATACTTCATAAATGCACCAAAACATTGCAGTGCAAAGTTACATTAAATAGCCAAATAATCATAAATAACCTAGAGGCCTACTGCAGCAACTTTGTGGTAAAACATAGGAAGGAATGGTCATTTAGATCTATTAGTAATGTATTTAAGCTAATTTAAACTAATAGGCTTTGGTAACTGCTTGTAAAGGGCTAAAATATTTTTGCGGCTCCAAACATGTTTTTTTTGAAAGTGGCTCTTTAGATAGTAAAGGTTGTCGACCTCTGGTCTCGGTGGAGAAAAAGTAAAATTTCCTCAGTCACCATCATCTTTTTAAAACATATTTTTCCCATCCTAAATGTGTCTAATCACAGAGTATAGAGCAGGGAGATTTTCCTAAAAATACTATGACTTGATTCTCTTTAAATTATGATTTAATTCTCGATATAGCACACAAATACGTCGGATAGATTTTGAACGTGCAGAATGTTTTGAACATGAGCAGAAAACTTCCTGAAACACAGGAGCTATTAAAGTCCAGGAATTTCTAAATGAATTAACATGAAGCAAGTTATCATGGAATTACCACTGAAATCTTCATATCTGAAAAGAATTCCTGGAAGCCTTATTGCATTACATTTTTATATTTTGAACTGTCACCTGCCACCTGAATTATTATCTTATTCCTTTTACATCAATAAAGACATTTCCACTTAAACTGATGCAGAAAAAGGCAGCAATTCACCAGAATGCAGGCAATGAAGTGTTTAACGCTCAATTTTTTGGGGGGAGAAGCCCCTGCTTAATATGCGTCTCTTCCAATGTTGAAACAAAACTTACGCCCTTGATTAGATGTTTTTTCCAAAGCTCAAAGTATAAAGCAAGGCTCAGGATTACAGGTTCATTCAGATTGTGTTCACCAGTATAGAAACAGAAAAGCAGATGCCTATTTTGTCGAACTCTTTTATATATATATATCGTCTTGTGTTATTTTATATCATGTCTTAATGTCTTTTTAGGTTTTATATAAAGCATCCAAATGCCTGGTTGTTGAAAGGAGTGTGCTCTACTAAACAAACTTGCCTTGCCTTTAAAGAAAAGCAGATAGACTGTGCTTAGCACTAAAACGTGTTTCCTATGACACATGCACCCAGATAAATATACAGGAAAAAATGCACCCTGTGTTGTTAACAATTACAAACACATCCTGTTGAACATACTAACCTGAGGCCAAAACAAGGTTCCCAACCATCTCTGTTTAAAGACAGCATATCAGAGTGTGCCTTTATGTGTTTTGTGCTCCATTTACAAGGCTGGGTGTCAATTACAGTTTCGATACCAGTGCCTATACAGTACCTTCCTACTAAAAGTTTCAGTTGTGATACCAAATTAATACAAAATAATACTTGTTTCAATATGTTATTGACATGTTTTACAACAAACTCAAATTTAACAAATACCAAGAACGATAAAGAGAAAAACAACTTGTAATTTTTCCTCTTCTCAAACTCCATCTTCTTGAACAAACAAAACATAAAAGGTGTTAACTAGTCAGCTTTAGAGGTGCTGGCGGATTTTGTTACCTGTGGGCAGAGCCAGTTACCTATGACACCAAAGCCCTAATCCCAAGTCTTCAAAAACATGGGAACTGAGTCATTCTTTTGAAATGTTTTTCTTTTCAGAGTGGAAAATCCCCAAGAAAACAGAATTTAGACCATAAACAACCACTTACTAATAGAACAGCTTCCTGGTTAGCAGCTTGGCATGATGCATCAGCCAGAAATATAGGTCAGATGCTAATCAGGCTACACGCAATTCATGTTATCAGAAAGCTTCACTCTGCTGAAATCATGTATGTCACGAGGGACAGTCAGTGAACACAGGGCAGTGCCACAGGTTGGCCGCAAAGACCGGTGAGAGACTAACAGGGCCAGGCTCCAGAAACTCAACCTGTTTTCACCTGACTTTTAAGAATCCACAGCTCAAGTACAGTGTAAACAGACATCACAGGGCCATTCTGTGACAGTGTTAGGTGGAGGGAAAAAATAATAATACGCACACAAATAATGAGCGACAAGGGACATTAAGCTCACCCTTCCTTTTAATTACTTCTGCATTTTACAGACCGTGTTTTCACTGAGCACCTAAAGGGTGTTGCTGGACAAACTAAACACGTGGTAGTTTGTTTTTCCTCTTTTGTAATGGCTGACTGAGAGTCTGACGTCTGGACACTTGACTTTCCTGGAGAAAGTCAGCCAGGATCAAAGTCAAGGCATGGAAAATGTTAGGCAACACGCCTGCTGACTTCCCCGCTCTCTGTTACCACCTGACTCGATCGCAGTCCCTAAACTAGTCATCTCAAATATCAATTTTACACTTCATTTACGCTGCAACTATAATGTATCTTTAACTTCAAAAGGGAGTTACACCGTTCCTTTGTTCGTTGTTGGGTTACACAATGCAAAATACAATGAGGCTGAACCATTTATGGAAATCTTATCGAAACTGCAATATGGCCTACAGCAATACTGAAATCGTAGGAGGTGCAATATTTGTTAAAGGAAAAATGTACATCAAAATACTGTTTTAAATTAAAGATTGTTGTGCTGCAGAGACATCCAGGCCCAGACATCATACTCATATTAGGCTCATATTCATAATTTTATGTGGGGGATGTCCCAGAATAAGTTTACGTGGTTTCATTTTCAAAAAAAAAACTACATTCTTGTCATACTGCACATTACTGCAGCACCTCTTTTAACCCCGTGTGTTGAATGCTCTGTTTTAGCTACAGAGTGAAGCATCTGACTTCTATTTGATTTTTGGTGAGTAGCATATGCGCAGCACCTAGTTATGGACTAGGGTCTACTACAGAAGCAGAGTAGGGCGGGTCCTGACAAGTCAGTAACCAGGCTTGGTTCAGCTGTACATGTTCATGAACCAGCTTCGCAACATAGGTTGGAGCTAGAGTTTCAGAGTGGTAATTTATTAATTTGCAAGAACTTTCTCTTTAATACGTAACATTTTAACTGTCAACTGACTTCGGTAGGAGTGTGGGGGCGAGGGGAGGCAGCGGGTGGACGTCTTGTCATTGTGCGCTCTGCAGCTCAGTGTGTTTCGCCACCAATGTTTTCGAGGCAATGCCACACTAGCAAGAAGGTGAGCATTATGATGCACACAGAAAGGTGAACAGAAAGTGTCACAGAAAGGATAGTAAAGAAAAGGATTGACTAAAATCGAGATGTTTTCAGGCAGGTCAGGAGCAGCGTTTTCTGCAGGAGATGGTCACTCCCTTTGGGGTGGACTTTGTGCTTGCAAACTTGTTATATGCACAAAAAAGATCTATAACACAATGAAGTTAAGGGAAAACGGCAAAATGTATAATACAACCTCCAAATTTATGTTTGATACAGCTCCTTGCAAAAATCACACCATAATGATTTAAATATGTTTTTCAATGAAAATTTGAATTTTTATGTATCAGTATCGGTCAAAATAATTCCAATTAGTAATTTTTTCATGTTTAACAGGAATTTGGAGCCATAGCTGCAACAATTAGTCAATTAATGGAGTGGTGGTTGGGTGAAAATTAACCAGCATAATGAATTAATAGCCGTTAGTCATTGTCAAGCAAAACTTTCAGACATTTGATAGCTCAAGCTTCTCAAGTGGGAGCATTTTCTGCTTTTCTTTGTCATATTTAATAGTAAATTTAGTGATTTTGTTTGTTCATTTTGTTGACAGTCAAACAACACAAACCATTTTAATAAATCAGCGGTGGCATCCACAATGGGCGTGTTTTTACTATTTTCAGACATTTTATTAACAAAAGGATTTAAAAAAAATAAGAAAATATGCCCTACTGGGAACTCAAATTTACTGCAACAGCACTTCGTTATGTCTGTTCAAATGTTTTAAATTTTTAGAAGATCTTTAACCTTTTACCCCTCATCTAAAATTTGAATTGCAAATGGAGCCTCGACTATTTGGTTCAGGCTGCTGTAACTAACAACAGTTGTGAACACAGAGTTCCCTGGACACACACAGAGTTACTCATAGAGTATACAGTGGTAGCACTCTGGCTCGCACATTATGCTGCCTCACACAACCTTTCTGCAGTGGCGAGATAAGAACAAGCACTTCCTTCCAGTGTCTCTCATTCAGCAAAAATAAGAGGAAAGGGACCGATGTGTGCAACAAATGCTTCAACAAGCCAAATAGACAAAAGGCCACACACACAGGCACTTGCTTTTATGTAACAACAGTTAGTGATACTGACAGGAACAGTGACTTTACCTAATCCTAGGACTAAACTTGGGGACAGCTGTTACTTTTAGAAGACATGAGACTTGTGCTATCATTTTGGATCAACATATTATTCATAACACATAACCTTTTATTGTTTCTGATCACTACAGGTTGGAAGTTGTTGAATACACAATGCAACCGCTTCACAATTAGTGAATCTCTAAAAGGCGTGTGTGTGCTGTCAAAATAGATTTACATGAACCAGTATTTTACAGCATTTTCTGCAAAACAGTAACAGCCACCCTCTAATCATTGTTTTTTTTAAACATATCCTAGATTTAATGCCACCAAACAAAATCAAGAATAATTCTATAATCTCATGAAGATTGTGCAGTCATAAAACCCTTACAAACACACTGGATAACATTTGCAACAATCGGACATTGAGATTAGAAAAACAGAATACAACATCAGTGCATGAGTGATGCTTAGCCAGCCTGGATGCCAGCTTGTTCCTTTTATTCAAATAACTTCATTATGCTTGTTCTGCATACAAAGCGCCATATGTCATGTTGCATAATTCCCCTCAACAAGGCAACTAGAGAGAGGTTTTACACTGAAGCAGACAGAGTGATCCTCTGCCTAGCTCTCCTAACACACAGTTTCACCAGAGTCCGAACTATAAGACTGTGGTGTAGTGGTGTTTCTGGACAGTCCGAACAAATGTGCAGTGATCAAACGCATGGCTAGAAAAATGAAGCACTGAAAGACACGTGCACTGGCAAGTACAAACAGTGAACTCATCTTATCGGCTTCTGCACTACTACGTCAAAATATATGTGGTGCATATTTTTATACAAGCACCATAACTAACCTGTACAACACATCATGTACAAAACTATATACATACACACAATTCATCAGATTTGAATGAATGTCCAACCCTCCCCTTCACTATCTCCCTTGTGACTCAGTGATCTCAAAGAAACTGGGAGGCGATTAACTGTCAGACTTTGTCTCTGAGGATCATAAATGACAAAACAGTATCAGGACAATGCACTTTACTTGGTGAGTAATAAGAGTAGAATGGAAGGCTTTGAAGGACGAGGGTGTACAAAAGGCCAAACTGAGCTGAAAAGGCAGCCATACTGAGTATAAATAATGTGTTGTAACACTTGTAGAGCTGCAATGATTAGTCGATCGGCAGGAAAACAATCTGCAGCTATTTTGAGTTCCAGCCAGTCATCTGTGGCTTTTGTTCTAATTTCAGTATGTTGAATATCTTTGGAGAGTTGGTCAGACAAAATAAGCAATTTGATCACATCATCTTGGGCTTTGGGAAAATGCGATGGTTATGGTGAGATGTTTTATGATATTTTTATAGACTAAACCATAAATATTTGACGGATTTATCAAAAATAAAACTGTTAGTCGCAGCGTCACGCACTCCGATTTTCCCACGGGATGATTTAGAAAATGAGCTAAGAGCGATCATCACAGCAGCCAGATGGGGACCTGAGGCCAGATTTACAGCAGCATGGTGACAGAAGCCAAAATACTCCATCAGGACTTGTGTTAATGCAATGTTAAAATCTGATATGGGATTTAAAAACTCCATGTGCCACAAAAGAAGCCATGTTAGCTCTGAGACAGGCCTGTAGTACAGAGTGGGAAAACACTGAGCACAGAACTGAAGAGCATACTACTTTGACTGAAAGCACATTTGAAAATGCAATGAGGGGAATGGAACAGAAAGCCTGAATTACAGACAGCTGCTGCCGGGTTAACGTTAACCTTCAGTCTGGCTCATGGTAATGAAATGCAGCAAACACGGATACAGTAACAACTCATTTTTCAAATGGTCAGGGCAAGCAACTGTTTTCAAAGCTTACTAACCAGCAGGCAATAAAAAGCTATAGCATGTGACCATAGCTCCAGGTTAAAATACAAGTCAGCGTTTCTTGTTGCTCTTCTTTGCCAAAATCCAGTACATCATGTGATGTGATCACACCGGTGGACATTCACATGAATGTATACATCCCACCCCACCCCATGCACACACATACACACACCTAACAATAGACAGCCTGGTTTCCTGCCAGCAAGTTAAACATTACATAGGAAACTCAAGGAGGAAAATAAAGGTGTTGGGTGAGTGTGGATAAAGAAGAAAGATAAAGAAAGAGAGAAGTAGAGATTGGAAAAAATAGTGGGACGCAGGCAACCAGGACATGAGAGCAGATCTGAACTGATGACTGTCCCGCTTCACTTGCTATCTGTATTTCCTTTCCCTGAAAAGAAGCTAGCTGTGTGAGATACAAACGGCTGGGGAGGTGGAGGGGGATACCGCAGTTAGCAACTTTAAACACAGCAAATATTTGGCCAGGAGTTTAAGGCGGCTATGGCAACACATCCTTGGGTTTCAATTGGATCAAGGTCTCACCCGCATGTGCAGAGTGTATTCACTGTAATTAACTCAATTTGTAGTGGGGGATTTATAAATGAATGCAATGTGTGTTTCTTTTGCTAATTAATTCTCTGCTGCTATATAAGATTTGTAATCTGACAGTTAAGTACAGAAGGTAGAGAGGATTTTGTTCAGTTCATCAAAACTGTAGATACTGTATCCATTTATCAAAAATTCCTTGTTTACCGTCTAGCAAACCGTCCAAAATCCAAAGATCTTCAATAAATGTTGATATAAAAACGTAAATCCTCACATTTGAGACGCCATGACTAGAATATTTTATAATCTTTACAGATTAATTGTTCATTAATCAACTAATCGAATAATTGACTCATATGTTCAGCTTTAATGGCAATGATTCACCTGTTCTCATTTTCATCTGAGACTGCCTAATGCTAAGGCCGAGTACATTTATTAATATTGGTATACACAAATCTGTCGTTTTATAGGAACAACTTAAATATGCAAGTTTTAATGACATCTGTTAATACTAATAACAATAACAACAATACAGTAAGGCCTATATCTCTCACACTTAATAGTTACTAAATGGCTGCATGTTAAGAAAAGTTACTCTTACCCAGCATCTCCATTTTAAATCAGTTTACAACATACACGTTACCACATCCATCTGTTGTGTCATTACATGGTACTCTATTGGTTCAAATGAATAACGTTAAACGCTTGAGGAAAAATAGAAATTATTAAAAAAAAGAAATGTTCTACTAATGGTAATCTCTCATTTCTGACTTTATAAACGTTGTTCAGAGGGCTATTAAAGTGTACAGAGAGGCACAATTAGGGAAATGTAACGTTTCCTGGACACTACTTACCGCTTTAAGTTGCTCCAATCGGTCCTTCATATTTCAGACGGTTAATTTAACACTTTTACACCAAAGCGACAACAACAATATTGTGAAAAATAGCTCAAAACTAGTCCCAAACTCTGAATTCCTCAGCCAGCTGGCAAGCTAGCTGTCCACCACAAACCCACCGCCAGTAAGAAAATGAATGTAAGTTCTCAAAAGTGCCGACAGGTATCTGAGAAAACGAGTTTTTCTGAAAAGAGTCTTTCCGTCGTTTTTCCATACAATATGGCTGCTGGGTTTAAAACCTGTGTTTTTTCTTTGCTAAATCTCCTCGCCCGGGGGATTAAAACAACAGTTGTGTGCAGCAGTATAATCTGCCTGTCCTCTGGCAAGTAATCATTCTAAAACGCACTTTTCTGGATCACGCATGCGTAAACGACTCCCCTGTCCACTGACTTGGAGCCACGCCCCGAGCCACCTGCACCGATGATACATTCAGGTGTTGTAGGAATAATACCTCTCTTTAACTACTTCGCTGCTTCAAAGTACTTTAGCATTGACCTGCCCAGAGAAAGCAAATGAAAAGGCCTTGATGCTTAATCTGGCATATTGACATGCTGTCTTTTAATGCAATCTACACTGTGCCTGATTAAAAAATACACTATCTTCTCTTGGCGCCTTTTTAAAACTGTCTTATTTACAACAGAGATACAAAAACAGAGTCCAAACTTTTTACAAGACAGAGGGGAATGTTAAATTCACTGAATTCCATTTATTAAAAGTGAAATCAAACTAATCTAAAATATTAAAAGTCTTCTTAGTTGTTGTTGTTGTTTTTTTTGCTCTTCACATGTAATTCAAAATGCTGAAAGCAGGTTGACAACACAAGGTCCACTCTGTAACTGCTGTGGAGCTCATAATCTCTCTTACTCAGCAGATACAGTTATTACAGTCAAAATTGTAATTGTAGCACTTTGCTGGTTTAAGACTTGACATTGGAAACAGCACCTGACAAAACAATCTCACTGCAAGGTCCACTTCCTCAGCTGGAATCTCAAGACTGGTTGGTTGGCATTGAAAGCAGGGTTTGGAGTCAGGCCAGAGATTTGTGGATGTGAAATTTACCTGGAATACCACTGAAAACCACAAAGTACAACATCATGTTAAATACATCTGCACATCACCCGTTGTCTTCTCTTGATCACAACCAATGAGAGGAGGTATTTGGTATGAACAAATTCAGTTTATGAGGAGGAAAGCCTGAGAAGTACATACAGGTAGGTGCTTTAACAGTACAGTCAGCAATGTAAATAAACATTAGAAATTAATAATTGCACAGAGTTGTTTTGAATTTTCAAAGAAGCACTCAACAAACTTTGATAGTTGTGTTAACTTACTTAGCTCATTAATTTTGTCAGTAGGCTAGTTATTATATTAAGTATACATATTCCTAAGCAGGCTCTGAATTAATTTTTTTAATTATCCATAAAGTATGCATTATGGCCAGGCAGAGCTGTCATATTTCCGCTTTTGTAATGTAACCTGAATGCACATACAGTCTATGGGTTAACATGATAGCAGTGATGTGGTTCAGGGCAATATGCCAGGATATGCCGTGCATTTTTAGATTGTAATTTAAATAAACGACATCAACTAGGTTGGTGTTATTTAAGCTTTAAGTTCAGCCAATCAAGAGCAGAGCCACCACTTGTTTTCATAACGATCGGCAAACCGTGGTGCGAACAGGTCAGATGAGATTAGTAATTAGCCTATCTATAGGCCTAATTTTTCCCCCTCTCTTTGTTGTCATGTCGTAGACCTATACGGTAGTTATGCTGTTTCAATGTTGCAGTAAACACCAGGTAGAATAGGTTAAAAATGTGTGAAATACAATCTCGAGGATGTATGATGTAACTGCATTCTAACAATGACGCGTGAAGTAACCGCCGGGCGTGAAAACTGAGACGTCACAACAATGTGCAGATTATAACTATTGCGTAATACTGTCGAGAAAGTCCATTGTGCTCTGAATGAAGCACCACTGACACCTGGTGGAGACCAGGGGATATTCAGATGGTTAGAATAAAAGTGCCTATGATTGGAAACCTCCAGAATTGTCCCCCACCGTTCGCCTATTGTGTATGCATCCTGCCCTCTGTAAGATGGAGGCACGTCGGTTAAAAATGTAGGACATGCCTTTGTTCATACTTCACATACAATTAACATGTGACATTTGGGGCCCCTAGGAAAGCTGCCTGCTTGACAGTTAATCCAGCCATATACACCTGTATTACATCTTGTTTTTATCTAATCTGAATGCAAATGGTCCATAATATAACCAACTTCTGTAGACATGTTCAAGGGGAAGAGAAGCACACTGTATATGCTTTGATGCATTTGCAGAGGTTTTGAAATACCAGATTTGGCCCCAATACAGTGAAGATTACTAAAATGCATCACAAGATGTCTGTCTACACCCCTACAGTTTATACATGGGTACCACTTAATATTTAACAGTTGTACTGGATATCAGGATCACTGTATGGCAGTAGGCCTTTTACCAGAGACATGGATAATAAATCAATAAATGAATAATTCTGCCTCTGCACGCTTCTAGCACAAACTGTATATCCAGGAAAATCAAAATCAGACAGACATCTTATATTGAGAATGTTTTTATTCAAAGTTTACTCCCCTTAGTGTTTCCAGTACACCGTACAACAGCATTATGTGAGCTGGGTAAGTGCAGTGGAGGGTGCTCGAAGATGAAGAGTAGCACGTTGCCATGCTGACGACAACACTAGGGTGGGTGTGTCTTAAACAGTGAAATTAGAACCACAGCTTTTCCACCAAGTTTTTGTTTTTTTCTTAGTTTTAAAACAAACAAAAAAATTCAAAAATAAAAAATCTGAAAAGGGATTTTACAGTAAAGGGGCAAAACTCCAACAACTTCCTGTCCACAGATGGGAGGGGGAGAGGGGTAAATGTAGCCAACAGGTTAGAGGTCATCTTCTTCATCTGGGAGTGCCGTTTGTGATGCAACCTGGACAGGGAGAGACGAGAGATTAGATTTTTTTCCCCCAGATTCCCAATGCAAACTGGTGCCATTCTGAGATTTTTTTTTGTATACTTGGCTCAGGTAAAGATATGGGATTGTATATACTACATAACCACCTAAACAGACTTTGCACATGTCATACTCACTTGAAGTTCTTCCTCGTACTTCGCAGCAAGGGTCGGGTCCATTTGGACCTCTGGGGGAGCGAGGGCAGGCATTGCCACAAACTCCAGGTTTGGGTCGCCAATCAACTTCCTTGCTAGCCACAGGAAAGGTTTCTCAAAGTTGTAGTTACTCTTAGCAGAAATGTCGTAGTACTGGGGACAGAGCAGTATGTGGCAGTTAGAAATGACAGTTCAGACAAAAGTCTACAATTCACACACACGACTGCATGCATAAGGACGGACAAGTTTATAACTGTTAGCACTCATTACCTGCAGGTTCTTCTTGCGGTGAAACACAATGCTCTTGGCTTTGACTTTCCTATCTTTGATGTCCACTTTGTTGCCACAAAGGACGATGGGAATGTTCTCACAGACACGGACCAGATCACGATGCCAGTTGGGCACATTCTTATAGGTGACTCGAGAGGTGACGTCAAACATGATGATAGCACACTGAGCTGCGGAGGGAGCAGGGAAGATTTTAGACACAATTCCATGTGAAGGGGTTCACACTTGAATCTATAGTGATTCAGCAATGGTTCAAGGTCCGATAATCAGAACAACATGTTATGGATTGTAAGCACCTTGAATGTAGTAGCCATCTCTCAGGCCTCCAAACTTCTCCTGACCAGCTGTGTCCCACACATTGTACTTGATAGCTCCTCTGTTGGTGTGGAACATCAGCGGGTGCACCTCTACTCCCAGAGTAGCTAGAATTACAAGCAAAGGGGAGATGTATGAACACAAAGTGGGAAACTAATGAAACTTCTTTTATGGGACATCCTTGTAAAAAAAAAAAAAAAAAAAGATTAAAAATCTCAATGGATTTATTTCGTGGTTAAATAAAGTAAATGGGGGAAATAAAGTTAAGAGAAGTGTTAGATATATGGCGAGGAACAACAAAACACATTAAGGATACATGTGAACAGAAGTTTAAATGTCTAATAAGCACATAATCACATCACAGTATACATAAATTACAGTTAAATGCCTCCTCTATTGCCTTTCATTTTCAAGTTTCATTTTATAGTTTAAACAATCTTGATACAGATCCCTTGCATTTTAAATTGTGACAAAGATAAATGCAAGGTAGACATTTTACCTCTCCTTGTAAATCCTTTCTGGTGGACAAACCACTCCGTGACACCATTTCAAGTTGTGCATTTCTATATAGTAATTTCTTGTTACTTGTGAGCCTGACAGATACAACCCTAATGATATCAGAAGGCAGGGGGGCTCAATGGGGACCAACAACTCACATTAGACAGAAGGCCTGAATCCAGCCTCATGGTTATGTATGACAGTATTTAGTCAGTACTTCAAATGACCAAGCTTCACACTGGAAATTTCAAGTTAGTACTATGCTTTTAATTCATTTCTATCTGTATGTTTTATCTGTCATTCACAACATTAAGATACTCACCAACATATTTCTTCTCAAACTCTCCTGTAATGTGCCTCTTCACAAAAGTAGTTTTTCCGGTGCCTCCATCTCCTACCAGGACGAGCTGTACAAGAGCACAGTTTAGTTTAGACTAACGTTAGTTGGTACTGGTTCGACACAGCTATCAACCTAAAACTTCCACGTACCGTTCCCCATAACGTTACTTACAAAACAGGCAAATAGCACACATTACAAGAGGCTCTATAAAGGTTATAGATGACTCTTACCTTAAACACCGCCACCGGTACACACTGTGCCATTGAGTCCGCCGTGGTTGCGATTTTTCTAAGTCAAACAAAACAAGGCGGGATGGTTAGCACGTTCTCCGCCATCCACCTATCTAGAAAGCTTTCTGTAACGTTAAGCTAGCTAGTGTTAGCATTTGTCTGATTTGACGCTGTACTGTTAGCGGTTTGTTACAATTACAGTTATTTTCACAGTTTGAGCGACTTATTTTGACATCCAACGGGTGAATATACTGAGATTATTACCTAGCGATAACCAATTCTAGCATGTTCTACCCAAGCTAACGTTCCGATACGCGGCCGTTATGTAAACGTCTGACTTGTGTTTAAGTCACATCGTATGAACAACAAAAACATAACGATGCACACTGGATGTGTATTGAAACACGACAACCTCGCTTCCGAAGTCGTATTTTCAACGCAAGCGTTTGCTAGCTAGCTAAAAAGCTACTCGCGTTGAGTGCGCCATAGGACGCGCGACCGCACTTTTTCCTTGTTCGACTGAACAATCCGACTGTAAAGAGCAGCTAATGTGTTCCATGTTGACGGCCAACTTGAAACAAAAACGAAACTTCACGCCAAGCTCATTTAACGCATTCAAGGTTAGTTTAGTGAATAAACACACTTGGAGAAATATAAGCAGGTCTCCAGAACAAAGCGGTGAAATGAGCTCCGCTTGCTAACTTGTTAGCTAGCACAGCATGGAAGCCATTCCTTTCACCGAGCTAACGGCTAAGTTAGCCGGGAGTTAGCGCAAGAAATCAACGGCCTACTCTAGTTGCTCAACCCTCACATGGCTACACTCGCAACGCCACATTAACCTAAATCATACCTTTAAGTTTCCCGTTGTTTAAACAGACTTTCACAAATAAACACAAACTTGAAATATTGGATGGCCTGTAATGACAGAAGAACATAGAGACTCACCGGTGTCACTGCCTACAGAGAAAAGAAGTAAATGGCTGCGTTCGCGGGAGATTCAGCGTGGACTATGAGTCAGTTTCCGCCCTTATCATGTGACCACCGCAGCGGTAAAAACGCATTTGATTTTAGTGCAAGCACCATGATTCAGCAGGTCTATTCATCTTGAAAGATTTACACAAATGTAGCCCCTGCACATTCAACATCAAGCTATAAAGTATCGTTTTATACCATAGACTGCATGTTTATATATATCCAAAAGCAAACGCAAGTGCTAATTCTTACCACGTTAAAAAAGGTCTGCCTGTAACTAGTGATTATTAATATTATTGATTATTCCGCTGATTATTTTATAATAATAATAATAAACCCATTAATGTTTTGGTCTAGATATAAGAGTAAAAAATGCTCATCACAAGTTCCCAGAGCCACATGTCCAATATAACACAAGTTGATAAAATTGGTTATTTAGAATTAATTAATTAAGATATTTAGTGCTATAAAAGAGAGAAAAGCAGGCGATCCTCACATTTGTACAGCTGGATCCAGAGATAGAGCACCAGCTTTAATTGAACTTGCACACGAACATGCACTGTTTTAGAACATGATTTATTTCAGCAACATTACATAAATATACTCTTTCAGAAATATCCTATTGCATCGCATAAAACACGCTTATAAAGTGCAGCATAAACTACGTGGGTTACAGACTATACAGTCAACATCATAAAGTGCAATATCATCCATGTTCACAACACAAGACATATGATTTGTGCGTTTATATTTATTTTCTCAGTTCTGACAACAGAATCTGAGGCTGCAAGGCTTCATTGCTCATATGTAACTCACTTGAATATTGGTGCAGCTACATATAATCTCTTTAATGCATAGGAGGATCATAAGATCATTTTCATGTATGACACGTCTTTGCGGGCAGTGTACAGATATGACAGTGAGTCTATCTGTACAGGTAGTCTGCCTGTATGTTGGCAGCTATCTCAGCCTCCCATCGGTCTCCATTGTTGAGCAGCTTTTCTTTGTTGTACAGCAGCTCCTCGTGGGTCTCTGTGGAGAACTCAAAGTTTGGACCCTGAGGGTGAGGTTGAGAGAGAATAGACATTAAATGTCTGTAGGTCTAAATCCACACAGACTAGACTATAGAAAGTTTCTTGTTTTACATTTATGTTTTGATGATGGGTTGAGTGCATAATATCCAATTTGAAAACATTTAATCAATCATTCTATTTTTAGTGGAAGGTAGAAATTGACTTTTAGGTAAGCAACCTGCGTTATCAACTGAAATCTGTTTCCATAATTTAGGTTAACTGTGCGTATGCCATGCATTTTATTCTTGTTCCAAACACTAAACATACATGATGAACCGAGGAATTTAGTAGTGTATCTGAAAAAATAGTCCACAATGTATGTTTCAGTAGGCTGTATAATTTCTGACTGATAATTTAATTTACAAGTTCGACTTTGAGTTACAGCTTCAATGCACTTCAAACAAATTAGGCAATGTTGTATGATCCAATCTAAATGTATTTTGAACGGCCACATTTGAAGGCGGGGTAAAAACAGGAGTGTGGTTTCTGTTGTTTTTAAAGGTGAAACGTTTTACATAAAAATGAGTGAGTTGTTTGAAGAATAAAGTACACCTCCACACATCAGACCAATCGCTACGTGGAGTAGGTTTAATTGTCGGATTTTCTGTTTTTGAAAATTAAGTTTCTGCTGTCGGAAAAGGAGGTTGCAGATGCTGCTGAGTGTTGTATGTGATGGCATACAGAGTAAACAAACAATGGGCATGTAAATGTCTCCACATGAATGATCTTATTTGCCAAAATGTGAAAGAATTATTTTATCAGATACACGTTTCAAGAGAAAAGTGACAGAAATACAGTTTTCACCATGTCCAGCTAAGCTAATAAGCTAATTCTTACCTCAACAATGGCATCAACAGGGCAGGCCTCCTGGCAGAAGCCACAGTAGATGCATTTAGTCATGTCAATGTCATAGCGTGTAGTTCTCCTGCTGCCATCAGCTCGAGTCTCAGCTTCAATGGTAATGGCCTGGTGTTTGAAATAGGGAGGGAAACGAAGAGACGAGAACAAAGTCAGACAGGACACACAGGTGTGAGCAGCATATATTGTGAGAGTATTTATTATTATAAACTTACTAGTCTGTAGAAATCAAATCATAGCATTAACAGAACACAGACTGCGGTAGATATGATGTGAATATGGTGTACCGTTCAAGTATTAGCATCATGAATTTAGCCCAACACTTGATTGAAATGTGTGTATAAAGGCTGATTTTGTGTGTCTGTGTGTGTGTGAGAGAGAGTATTTTCTAAAGGGGCCACCAGATAAAACAAAGTTGTTATAAATATGAGATTATATTGTTTAATGTAAAATTGATCTCTACATTAGAAAAGTACACACTGGTAGACAGTATTAACCGCATGCAAATATACATGACTAAGGTGCACTGTTGTTGCTTTTTACCAATTTTCACCCACCCAGTACACTGTTCAGGACACTTAATAGTAAACAAGGTCATCCTACTGTGAGGACGGCTCAGAATATGCATCCATTAACAGAAGGTGGAGACGAAAATGAGAGAGCTGCCGATAATGCATGCATCATAAAAGAGAGAAAAAAATAATTTCCTCTGTTCCTCTACTATTCAAAATAAACACATACATTCTTGGGAATTATTTTTGAATAATAAAAACAAGCTCTCTACACTAACTTTGTGACATCTCATCTAGACTGGTGCTACACAAATAAACGTTACTTTATAGCAGCAACTGAATGCATGCTTGTGTTCACCTGAGCAGGGCAGACGGCCTCACACAGCTTACAGGCAATGCAGCGCTCCTCTCCATTAGGGTAGCGGCGGAGGGCATGCTCTCCGCGGAAGCGGGGAGACAGAGGGCCCTTCTCAAATGGGTAGTTGATGGTGGCAGGTTCACGGAACAGGTAGCTCATGGTCATCGCCAAACCTGCCGGAAAGCGTTGCCAAATAATCAAAGAGAGTTATGACTCACTTAAATGACAGCGCTGATGTTGTGTATTTGTTAAGGACTTATATAATACTAAATAATAGTATAAATAGTGAATTTTATTGGGTCTTGAATTATTACTTATTTTATTGGTGACAGTACTGGCATGTTGGTAATGTGTCATTACATAGTTACTTCTGCATCTTTACTCTCTTCTATCAAGGACTACACAGGAAATAGATGAGGAATAGATACACAGGAATAGATAGATAGATAGATATTGTTTTAGTTTTCTTATTTTAGGATATCTAACAACATCAGCCAAAGGGACTGCCAATGACAACTAGCCTGTGGCTAACTCAGGTACATTTACATTTTTTAATGTTGATTAATGTAATTGCCCATCTCAAATAAACAATAATAATAATAATAATAATAATGATAATAATATTATTTTAAATCTAAGGCACAGAGTAACAATCTATATCTGACTACACAGATAATACTTCTTAATAGTAGAATAAATTAATTGTTGGTTTATTTGTTCACATTAAGAAAAATATAGAATATTATACGGCTTTTGACTCTATGGAGGACATAAACTAAATCATAGTATGCGTGACCTCTGAACAGTTCGGTCCAAAGGAGGGTTGTAGCAGCCCGGTCAGTGACGGACCTCAGGTCTGTCGGCAGCTCCTGAGCATTAACATACTCTAAGGAGAACAGAGGGAAAGAGGACTGTAATGTTAGATCATTTCAAACATGTGGTCACTCGACTGAGAACGCCATATACAAATAGCTCTTGGTTTGTGGCAGTACTTACTATAGCCCTCTCTCTGCACACTGAGACTGAAAGGCCGCATGGCACCAGGACCATATGCGAATGAGCCTGGAGACACACACAAATGTGATGTGACGATGCCTCATTTTGTGCATACAAATATTATTATTTTAGTGACACCCGCTTCAGTAGTACCTGGTTTAGAGTAGCAGTGGAGAAGACGCAGACTCAGTGCAGTAGACATCTGTGAGGAGAATAAATTAATATTGAAATTGTTAAAACTCAAAAGTCGAACTAAAATAAGGTAAATCTTTTCTCTATTATTCCTGTTTTGCCACCCAGAAAAAGGCTCCTCACCACAAACAAGGGAGGAGTGAGTGAGCGATGGAGACAGCCAGCTGACTGAGCAGACGCAACCTGTAATCTCGCGCCCCTAATCCGTATTATTACGTAAACGGGCTGCCACATTCACGGCGTGACGGCAGAATGGGAAGAACAGGAACACGTCCAGTTCAGTTTTAGGGAGCACTCAAGCATTATTCCAAGATTGTTATCACTAGTAACGTTACTAGACTAACCGTCATGCCATATAAATAGAAGAGTAGCCTTTTTTATCGTGTCAGATATTGACAGGCGTTTGTTCACAGTGAAACAAGGTATAACAGAAACTGTAGCATATAGTTGACTTTACTGTAACAGTTAAACATTTTTACACAACTGTATTCTGACAATGATAGCATTTCCCCCCCGACATTTTGCAATCAGATTGCAAGCACATGAGCAATCATTTCCGCTAGATGGGCTAGCAACCACTGCCCCTAGCCATCCCTGTGTTTGGTATGTACGATACGACTTGAACGCCTCATTACAAATAAATAACCGTTAGCAAAACTTGGCTCTGGTTACATGACCGCTGCGACTCCTTACTAATGTTTTTGTAATTTCCTTTTTTAAATTAATATATTTTAACGTTACACGTTTGTAAACCAAATTGTGACTTTTAATGTAATTAACATTGCTAACGTTACTTCGTTCACCAACGTCACTGTCACAATAGCTGGTTAATTTAGGATAGTTTTGCAGTAACAGTTCATTGAACTCCCCACGATCCCTATTCCTGAATAGTGAATACAATGCTGGTAAACAGTAACCACGTCGCCTTTATAATAACCTAACAACTAGCAAGACTTACCTCTGTCACAAGTTTTTGGTGAGCAATAATCTATGGCAACAAACAGACAGCGGTCCCTGAACTGCGCAATTGTAGTCATGTTGCTTTCAATTGCTCCTCGTTAATTTCCCCATTTTCAGTTAGGAAATCGCAAAACAATGGCACTCTTTAGCACTTTATTTAAATTACCTTCGGGTAACTATAAGGTTGTATTTCCTACAGCAAGTAAAAGCAGCACAGCTATTGTCCCCACAAGAGGAAGCTATTTAAAGGTCATAATCAGCGGAGTGAGGTCTATTATACATGTATCACTCACTCTGATGTAATGTTTGATTAATCATATTTGAGTAACTGAGTATCACTTCCATGACAGCTAAAAGAATATACTCCATAAATAGTAAATTGTACTGCTACAAAAGCCAAAGGGGAAGTCGCTTTGGTGGGGCATCATGCATTAATACTGAGAGAGCGAGGGAGCAAATGAGCAAGAGAGAGAGAAAGGAAGTTTGTCTTCCTCTCTCATCACTGGTGGATCTCACACTTCACCTCTACAACAACCAAGTGATCAAACATGGCGGAAATGTAAAAGGTAATTACGCTTAAAAGCATATTTCAAGAAATTTAACAACGGTCGTCTTGTTGTGGTTATGTTTATGGTTAGAGGGAGGGAAGGAAGAAAGTTGATCTGAAATAAAAAAAACTGAGCCAGTAGATGTCATAACCTTGGCTTGAATTGAAAACGAGTAGTAAGGCATGTAGCCTACTTTTAAACTGTTGTGAAGTGTAGCAGAACCTTTTTATACAGCATCAAGGCATGCACGTTTCATACTACTATCAACAAGCTAAACACAGAACATACTCCAGTCCGAGCAGTGTTTCTGGGTGGGATTAAGGCATTGAACTATATGTAGGAGACATTGTAAGGTCACATTTCTCTGATGCATTGCCACACCAGCTTTACCAGTGGTGATAGAGGACACCTCTTCTGTTCCAGTAAGATGTTGAGTCCATCGAGTTCAGCCCAGAAGAACCTCGGTGAAGAGGACAGCTCTGGATCTGATGCAGGGTCAGAGGTTGGTCTGGAACCTGAGACGGACCGATTTGGCTTCATTGTGACCAATGGATCCACAGCTGGGTAGGCAGTTCCACATCTGTGTTTGTGTATTGTCACTCTACCAAAACCAGGTATTCTAGTTCTGTTTTCATTCTCTTTCAAAGAGAGATTTTTTATTTAAAGAGGTCAAATGGTAGAAAGTCAAATGCAGGCTGAGGTGGTTGTTGAGATTACTAAATTGCCTCTCAAGGTAGATAAGACTGTTATGTTGGCCATAACCAGACAAATACAGAAACTAAAAATGTTAGTTCTAAATTTTCATAAGCCTAATTATCTTTTTTATACTTCAAATTGTATTTTCCATCTCAAATTGTTCATTTGAATGATTTTAGAGGTAAAAATGTAGGAAAGTTAAAAAGAAATCATAAAAAACAGTGTAACCACAGTTACCCATACCACTTCTTTTTCAGGTTACGTGGACACCACTGCCCTATGTTGTATTGTCACTTGTGCTTGTGCTTTTAGACCTTTAAACACTTGACATTCAAATGTTTTCCAGGTGTTTCTGTCAGTGCCAGGAGAGATGATTCAAAATAAGTAGTTCTCATAGTAGACCCCAGGTTAATTGAAAGTATCAAGGGGAAGTGAAATGTACCCTGAAGAAATTTTCACAAACTAAAGCATGACCACATATTTCTAAAGAGACCACTTAACTGAAGACCAGTATTTCAATCTTTTTTATGAGACAGAACAGCGTCTGCTGGCACAGAGCCAACAGGGCAAATAACACACTACAAAACCACCACACTTTTGCAGAGCCATGCCATCCGTTGTTTGGGAAAGGATTTTGAAGCAAGACAGAGGCCTTTAACACAAAGCGGTGTCAAGCATGTTTGAAGTCCAAGGAGTCTTAAATGCCAGAATGAGTTCACACTAGAATTAAGATAGTGTACATAAAAATACTGAGCATTTTTTTACTGTCAGATAACACTACAAAACTATTTGATAACATATTTACATTACATTGAATCTACAATGAATCTAGATGAAGCTGTTAATCAGGATAAAACCAGCTGAACAAACTGCTACCTGCCGTCTTCATGCTTTCCCCATTGATAACATCCTGACCTGTTGCTATGGAGACTTAAAACTGCTACCGTGTGGTTTTCCTGTTTCCTGTCTTGATTTTCAGAGCACAAAGAGTGTTTCTATAATGACAACATACAAAAGTGCCTGCAAAAACGCTGCACGCTGACATGAAGGTCTCCAGTTAAATGAGAGCCAGTGGACGAGACAAATGATAAAAGGCTCTCATTCTTGGATTGGATGTAGTTGTTTCATTTTTGTTTTCCTTGTGTCAGGAGTGTGGGCCCACCACCTGAGCTGGTCAGGCAGAGGGAGGCCAAATGGATAAACATCATTGGCCAATGGGATCGCATCTTGTTGAAGAAGACCAGTAAGGTGTGTCCCATCTTAGAGACCTAAAGTCTATGAATGTGCAAATACAGTGCCCAATTCCCTACCTTCTGTTTCCGCCCAAAGGGACCTTGTTTCAGAATCATGCCACTGTAAATAAAATATAGCATACTGTAGATCAAGTTGTTATTTAGTTATAGCTTAAAACAATATTGTGCCGTTTACAAATAGCCCACATTAACGTGAGTAGTGCAAATAGGCTATTAAGCCACAGCGTGTCGGAGGTTTCAGTGCATTTCTAAATTCTGACATGAAAATAAGCAAGGCTGTCAATGCCAAACTGGTGGCAGATTTTGAATACAAATATATAAAACATTTTTTCCCACATGTTGTCATATGAAAAGACTCAAAATGAACACTGTAAGTGGAATAATTGATAAATATAAGCAAATGATTTAAATAGCTTTTGTATAGGCATGATGCTGTCCCAAGCTGAAATCACTTTAAGCATTTTCCACTGTATTAGTAACACCTGCGAGTTTCCTACTATGACATCAAAATGTCTGCTGCAAAAAAGGCCTGTCCATTACTGACAACAATGAAATATAGTAATTTGTTTTCGACTACTCTTATCTGATCCTGTGCCTCTGTTACAAATTTCCCCTTCAGGTCAAAGTGCAGTGTCAGAAAGGCATCCCAGCCTCACTCAGAGCGAAGTGCTGGCCTCTGCTGTGTGGAGCGACTGACAGGATGAAACAAAATGAAAACCTCTACCAGGTAAGAAAGCCTAAAAACTCTTAGTGTGGTAAATGCTTTCAAACGAGCAGCAGCAACACTGTGCTGTTGTTAGAGTATCCAAATCACAATGTCAGATTCATTGATTAGAAAATTTTTAGATTTTTTTGTCACTTCATTGTTTATGTAGTTTATCAGGCAAATATAACAAACATTTTTTTATGGTTCCAGCTTCTCAAATGTGAGGATTTCCTGCTATTCTCTGTTTTTTGACACTGTCAATTGAATATCTTTGTACTGACAAATCTCACCGACCTCTGACCAGCTAATGGTAAAATGAGTAAATGGAAAATCTTTGGGTTTTGGTTTGTATGAGCACATTTTCCTGGGCTTTGGGATCTTGTGATGAACAATTATCAATGTTTTTTGACTTTCATACTAAACATTTTATAGACTAAACAATAAAGAATGAAAATATAATCATTAATTCTAATGATACAATAGATGATTGACTTAAACTATATTTTGTGTCTGTGTTAGTCTCTAGACTCACAGCCCACTCTGCAGAGCTGGGTGGATGTGATCGAGAGAGACCTGGACCGACAGTTCCCTTTCCATGAAATGTTTCTTTCCAAGGATGGACATGGGTAGGAAACACAAACTGTTGAGAAGCTGATAGCTACAGATCGTCATCATGAGGTCTAGACCTGTGGTTTGTGTGCCTGATCACTGTGGTGTGTGTGTGTGTGTGTGTGTGTGTAGGCAGCGTGGTTTGTTTCGGGTGTTGAAAGCCTACACTCAGTACCAACCAGAAGAGGGTTACTGCCAGGCACAGGGGCCTGTGACTGCAGTGCTGCTGATGAACATGCCTGCTGAGGTACAGATAAATAACACTGTTTACTTTTCTGACCATTAAAAGAAGCTGCAAACCCATCTGAAAAAAAGATTTAATTAATCTAGATGTCAGTGAAGAACAAATGTACATTTCTGTACCAAGTCTTGTTTCGTGTACCTGTTGTGATGTTTTTTGTTTGTGGCTTTTTGGCATCAACACAGCTTTAGAGACATAACACACCTGATAATAATATGGCAAAATTCTGTATACTTTTAATTGTCCAAAAAGTAAATAAGCTGTTGTGGCTTCTGAAGTTGACGTATTGTCATTTTATGTGCCATCTCACCTCATGTGGCAGGAGGCCTTCTGGTGTCTGGTGCAGATCAGTGAGCAGTACCTGCCCGGATACTATAGCCCTCTGCTGGTGAGGCCCTGCACACATGTACACATACGTACATCATGTAACAACACTGCACTTACCTTTACCTCATACACGGATAGTTTACATGTAGGCCAATAAATTAAATTTGATAGCTGACTTTGTTGTTCTATGAATTAACCCCAATTGTCATTAAGGTATGAAGCAACTACTTACAAAAACTTTGTGTAGTGTGTATCTTAGTAATCCTTTATTTTAAAGGTCTGTCATCTTCTAATAATTTTCTAAAATGTTTCTTAGAAACTTTTTGAGACAATGTTGAATTAGCACACTTCAAAATGATTGCTTTAGTCAGTGCACAGCAAGTCAGCAAAACATTTAAAAATGGGCAGGTATACAGCTCAACATAATGGCAAATAAAGTTTCCAATAATAAATGAAGAATGACTTGTTTTTTAATGGAGCTGTTCTTTCAAGTAAAAGTAATTATACCAGATTACAGTATATAGTTTTTCAAGGAAACTTAAAGATTTACAGACCCATAAAAAAATTATTACTTGGGTCTGTCTAAGCATGTGTAATCCTCCTGTAGGAGGGAGTCCTGTTTGACGCAGCCATGCTATCCTGGGTCTTGAAAAGGACGTGTCCAGCTGCACACAAACACCTGCAGCACCACGAAGTGGAGCCCCTCATGTTCGCCACTGACTGGCTGATGTGTCTCTTCACACGTCACCTGCCCTTCAACACACTGCTCAGAGTCTGGGACCTCTTTTTCTGCTATGGTACGTCCTCCATAGTTCAATTATTTCCTGAAAGGGAGACAACAAAATGTGTAATTTTTTAGATACAACAATCTGTACATTATGTTTTATTGTACATGTTGGTATTAAGTCTAAGGTAATATAGTTTGATTTGTAGCTGTATGTCTACAGCATACAATGTGATTGATGTGGCACCCGTCGTTCCAACTGATGTCAATTCTACCTCTCCATCCACTCTCTCCTCTCATCTCTTATGTGCAGGGGTACGGGTGCTGCTCCAGGTAGCGGTGGTGCTGGTGCGTCGGGTACTGGGCCGGGCTGAGCAGAGGAAGCAGTGTCAGGGTCAGATGGAGACTCTGGAGAGGCTGAGGGGCGTCAGGGAGCAGGTGCAAGAGGAAGACGACACCTTCATAGCAGAGGTAAGAATGGAACACATGGGTGGTGCTGAGGAGAGCAGCCACTGTAGAAAATGTGGGTTAGTGGCTACCAGTTACTTCAAGACAAACAGCTTGCTTTACTAATGTTACTGAATCAAACGGCTTTTTAAACCTGACCTCATGCGCTGTATACAGTTCTTTTCAATTGCTAACATGCATCTGTCAAAACATTTCACACAGTCAGCAAAACAGAAGTGTATGTGGACAAAACTGTGAATCATTTTTCAATGCTTTCACACAAAATGCATTCAGTGACCACCTTCTCCAAAATTCATGAACTATTTTCTCATTACTGCTGCACATTTTTCAAATGCTAACACAATGTGTCCAAAACTATTAAAAACACATTCAAAACAGAATAATGAGAAATGTCCTGCATTTCTGCAGTAAGCAGACTGAAATATATAGAAAGTCTTTACATAAATCTACTAGAACTGCGTGAAGTGTTTTGAAGAAGTGTGGTTTAGCAGGAAATGTGGTTGCATTTTAGCCGGATTGTTTCAGGGTGTTACACGAATTAGGTTGTGATCATTGTGTTAGTGTGTAAACAGTTGAGAAAAACTGTGTAGCAGCACTGAAATTTTAGGATTTTTTTCTGGTTCAATATGCAGTGATATAGAAAAAATACTTTAAGGATATTGACGCTAATTTCTTCATTTCTGATTTATTCTTGTTACATATACTACTACTACTACCAAGTACAGTCAATAAAGTTAAAATATGTTATTCCTATTCTATAATGAAATACTGATTGAAAAATCCTTCAAACTTCAAAGATAAAAGTTAATAATTTATGTAATGCTCCCTGTTGTAGGGCTGGACATTTTGGCCAAAAATGTTATCACAATAAAAAGTTTCATATCTTTTGATATCGATAATTATGACGACAAGTGTTTTAAACTATTCTGTATGGTCAACACTTGAGGCCAAACAGTGGATCACTTCACAAATCTAAGGTAGAACATTCAAAACAATAATGATAAAATATTTGTTAACAAATATGCATGAGTACAATTAAGTAAAAGCTTTTTTTCAGTCCTTTTACTTCAACAAATAAACATCTTAATAAAGAAAATAAGTCATAATTCATGTGTGATTCAAGTGAATAAAAGCAAACATCTATTGAATATTGTTTTATTGTCCAGCCCTACCCTGTTGTTAGTGTTTTTTAGGTCTGCGTATTATGAATGACAATGTGCGCTTTCTGATAACTGTTTCCAAGCTTATTTTGAGACATGTATGAATGTATGTATGTAAGTGCTCTGGTGGTTAGGGTGAACTTTTTTTTCCTTCTAAAGGGGGGGGGCTTTTGAGAACCACTGGCTTAAAGGTTAAGCATGAAGTAGACACATCTACATTTGAAATATCAGCACACTGCAAAATCAAAAACCTTTTAAGAAGATGGGAGAGGGAAAGTTCCACTGTAAAGAATCGGCTGCCAATAACTACACTAACGCTCCAACATTAGCTTTGCTTTAGTTTAGATGAAGGCACCAGCATTCCAGAAACTAGGTGTATATCCAAACCAAAAAGAACAATTTGGACACATACAGACAGGTGGCAAAGTAAAGGACAAACTTGAATACATGAGTGGAGAAACATAATAAATGTAGATGCTTCTGTACAAGTGGGAGACATTTCCCTGGCCCCTTGGAGGGAAATCATTGGATGGATCACTGCAAATCACTACAAAGTTATTCTCATGAATCACCTTTATCCTATAATTAAACATTTCCATCCTGATGGGAGTGGTCTCTTCCGGGATGACAGTGCACACGGGGTCACGGAGGAATGGTTTGACGAGGATGAAAAGGATGCACAACCTTTGCGGCAACCTGATTTCAATCCAACTGAACACCTTTGGAGAGTCTTAGACAGCACTCTCCACTACTTCCATCAAAACATCAAATGAGGGAATATCTTTATATATATATAAAAAAAGATTATAAAAATAATACAAAAGAGTTCTAGACAAATCTATGGTAGAGTAAACTGAAGCAGCAACATGTTACTAAGAAACTATATGTTGGTTTTCCTCTTTCATTTGTCACCCATCTAAATATATACTGTCTGAGTTTACAAGCCTAGTTTGTTACATCCTTTGTCATAATTGTGCTATGACCATACTGAGCTGCTGATTTATTACATTTCTATGTTTTACTGTTTGGTACTCCAGTCATTATAATGTAAAAATGTTAAATTTCAATACTGTTAATTGTCTAAAATTCAGAAATGTACAGTAAAACCAAAGTGAGTATTTTACTTCCTTTCTCAGGTGTGTTCGGTGCAGCTGTCAGCCAGAGATCTGGAGAAGCAGACGGAGAAGGAGTTAGTAAAGTGGAGGAAAGACAGACCTTCATCCACGTTTGACCCCCGACGTCGCTGCCAGGGATACCGGATGGCATGGGCAAGGGCTCGGCAGAGAGAGGAGGAACGTGACAGGAAAGAGAGAGAGAAAGGAAACCTGTCCGTCCCTCTCGCTCGCTCGGCCTCCACCCTCTCGCTGTCCCCCTCCCTCCTTCACAAGAGGTGGAGGAAAGGGGGAAAGGTTAACACAAACGAATGGGAAGGCGGCGGCAAAGTTGTAAGGCATCTCTCAATGGGAGCAAAGGAGGACTGGAGGAGCTGGGCAGAGTTGGATTTTAAGAAGGTGCAGGGCGTTCAGGAAGAGGAGGACGTTGTTTCAGAGGAGCATAAAAAACAGCCAAAACTAACAGGACAAACAGAAAAGAAAGAATTTTTAGAAGGACCTAAAGAGATAGAAAAAATCCAAACCATACCAACAGAGCAGGTTGAAGAAACAGTCATAGTAAAAGAACAGATTGAACAAGTGCAAAAGAGAGTCACTGAAAAGGAGAAAAGCCATCTCAAAGAGACAGATGAAGGCAAAATGCTTTCTGAGCAGACAGAAGAAACAAATATGGACGCGGAACCAACCCAATATCCAGACAAAGATCAGACTGTTGAAAATATTCCTCAGCCCATTGAGGAAACCGCTGACCACAAACAGAGAGAGGAGCTGAACTCCTGCAGCCAGTCACAAGTCCTGGAACAGCAGAGTCACCAAAGCGAGGACCAGGAAATTAAGGACAAAGAGACAAATACAGAGACGGAAAAACAAGTGTCAGAAAGTGAACATTCAGCTGCTGTGGAGGAAAATCAGACTGAGACACAGTCACAAGTCCTGGAACAGCAGAGTCACCAAAGCGAGGACCAGGAAATTAAGGACAAAGAGACAAATACAGAGACGGAAAAACAAGTGTCAGAAAGTGAACATTCAGCTGCTGTGGAGGAAAATCAGACTGAGACACAGTCACAAGTCCTGGAACAGCAGAGTCACCAAAGCGAGGACCAGGAAATTAAGGACAAAGAGACAAATACAGAGACGGAAAAACAAGTGTCAGAAAGTGAACATTCAGCTGCTGTGGAGGAAAATCAGACTGAGACACAGTCACAAGTCCTGGAACAGCAGAGTCACCAAAGCGAGGACCAGGTAATTGAGGAGAAAGAGACAAATACAGAGACGGCAAAACAAGAGGCGGAAAGTGAACATTCAGCTGCTGTGGAGGAAAATCAGACTGAGACACAGAAAGATGCCGTTGCAGGTACAAACACAGCGCTGAAGATGGAAGTAGGTGTACACACAAACAAGGAACTGACAATTCTGGCTGATGTGAAACCAGAGGAGAGCACAGAAACTGAAAGTGTGCAAAGGATGCAGGTGGACACGGTCACAGAAGTCTCTGAAACAACCACTGAGGCAAGCCCAGGCTCAGAGACGGACAGTGTCGTCATAGCTCCACCTGTCACAGATCCTACAGCAGAGACGGAGGCACAAGAGCAACAGCAACAAGTGATCCCTGAGAGAGAAGAAAGCTCACAGGGAGAAGAATTTGAAGGAAAATGCCACAGCACTGAGTCATTAGCAGAAACAGACATGAAAGAAGAGTCCCACACCCATACAGAGACAGAAACTGATGTGCTGGCACAGGCTCAAGCACAGGCAGAGGAAAATGCAGCCACACAGGACAAATTGGAGGCTGAAATAGTACAAATAGATTCAAAACAGCACATAGATTTAAAGACAGAAGCCGAAACACTGTGTTCACCTCAATCTATTCAACCACAAGAAGGCACTGACTTAGCAGCAGATACAGAGACTGAAGCAGAAGTATCAGTTGCAAACGACGTAGCGAAAGAGTCAAGTGAAGCTTTTGCACAATGTCCAGAGGAGCAGCGTGACGCAGCAGCACCTCAACCTACACAGGAAGTAGGAGAAATTATTTTGACAACACGCTCAGTGGCACAGGTTGACAATGATCAAACAGCAACAGAAACTCAGCTGAATGAGGAAACTCATTCTGACTCAATAGCACCTCCACAGAAAGAGGGGACTTCATCACAGGCTGAGGCAATGAATCTCACCACCGAGCCTGATGGGAAGGCGAGTTCAGTAGAAACAACTACCTCTGGGGAACCTGAAGAAACAAAGGTCACAGTGGGCGCCGCGGAGGTGGAAGAAAGCACAGAAAATGTTGAAGAAAACAAAGTAGGAGAGGACGACGTCTTCATTTCTACTGAACCAACAGACTCTGCAAATACTGACAACAACCCACAAGTCCAAGAGAGAGATTCTCACCAGACTGAGCCGAGTAACAGCGGCCAGACACAACCGTCTGGGCGACGCAGCAGCCGGTCTTCTGGGGATTTCTGCGTCCGCAAGTCATCCAGCTCCCGTGGGTCCAGGTTAGGGCGTAGGCTCTCTGAAGATCTCTTCACCATGCCACAGAAGACTAGCCAGTCACAAGCTATCCCTAATCAGCCAGAAGTTGAAGCACAGTCCAGTCCTGGAGCTGTAAACCCAAACCTAACTCCACCTGAAGTCACCTCATTATTGTCTGCAGAGGTGACCGAGAGGACAGCGGTACAGCAGCAGCAGCAGCCACCGCCTGACCCCCCTAAACGTTTTGGTCTCTTTCGTAGACTGAGAGGAGAGCAGCCCAAAAAGGCCAAGGGGACACCCAAAATGCAAGTCCCCAAAATCTTGATTCAGGACTTCAGTGACGGAACAGAGACGGGAAAACCAGTTGAGGAGGAAGGGGGGGAGAAAGTGAGCTCGAGGGAAAGGAGGAGGCGGCGGAGGGAGCAAGAGAGAAGGCAGAAAGAAGAGGAGAGGTTGAGAAAGAAGAGAGAGAAAGAGGAGGAAAAGGAAAAGGAGCGAGAGAGGAGGAAACCGCAGACAAGGGGAAAAAGTTTCCAGGTGCAAAGAGATACAGGGAGCAGTGATGCGCCTGAACCTGCAAAGACTGGATCACAGACGCTTAGATATTCTGCTTCTTGTGCTGAATCTTATTTTTGACAAAAACAAATCTTTTTTAAATCAGATGTGAGTGGAGGGGGGAGGAGGGAAGAGGTGTTTTAAAAAGAATCCTGTCTCGTTATCCTTTCTGTTCAGGCTTCACGTTGGTTGATGTCCCTCATCCTAAATCTTTTTCATACTTGAACATTTTGACATGTAAATAAATAATAAATGTTTACATACCTTGAAAAAAATACATTTCTTTTATTTTGAAGAGCTTTTTTGTCGCACCTCAATCACAAACTGAACAAACAAAAATAAACAGGAAGTGCTTCGTGTCCAGTTTCACATAATCCACCATGAATGTTATTAGTCCAATATAAAGTTGGAATATACTCGCATTGGACATCCTGTTCTGTATGTCTTTGCATATTTTTGTAAAAAGAAAAAAAAATCCCTGTACATCAGTTGTAGAGGCCATTAAAGATGGTAAATAAGGGTTCAGGGAGGCCAACATAACCCCCCCCACACACACACACACCCACACACACACACACACACACACACACACACACACACACACTTTCAGGTCAGTCCATCTCTCTCCTCTCTATCCATCAGTCCACTGTCACTCTGCACGAGTGTCATCCTCACTGTCACTGGCCAACACTTCCTGACTTGTCACCGGTTGAGTGGTCATCTGAGACGACAGGGGAAGCACAGATCCAAAGAACAGGGAACAGAACTGTGAGAGAAGAAGAGAGGAGTATATTGTGAGAATATGTTTTATTTTAAAAGTAAAACATAAGTAATGTCCGCAAGTTACATCCAGCCAACAGTTACGCCAAAGCCTAGTCCTGACATGATTTGACAGTGCAATACAGGTTTTTGGGATCTGACACGAAAACCATGGACTTGGCACAAGGGTTTGCCTAATTAGAGCTTGTAAGAGACTTGTCTTGAACTCCCTGTGTCCCAAGCGCTATGATGGTTTTCAAACATGTCTCATTTTATTGTAAACACACACAAGATGCAGTTTCGTTGGAAGACGAGTATAGACAGATTATGAGCAGTATCCGGAGACGGAGCGAGGCAGCAGATAGAAACACACACACTGACTTCTATACACAGTGTGACCTCCAGTCAAAGATCTCGCTATCTGGAATAATCTTGTAATAAGTACATCTTGAGAATTCCCACAACAGTGGAAACTTTTAAAAAGAGCTAAACATTTCTGTGGAAGTTATAATAAATACAAATGTTATCAGTTAATATAAAAACACAATGACATGACAGCTGTTAATCTGCTCCTTCTGTTGTATAATTTCTCTACTAGTTTTTTCCATTTTTGTCAGAGCCTTTTTTAGTTAATTAAAAAATAATAATTAGTTAATTTATTAATGTGAAAACTAAACCATACCTTCTTATTAGGTGGTCTGTCTGAATCAGCCGTTCCATCCTCCTCCTCCTCCTCCTCCTCCTCCTCCTCACTGTGCAGCCTCGTCCTGTGATTGGCTGCAGCGGGCTGTTTTGAACATGTGGAAGCAGCTAATGGGGGCGTGGGCGGACTTCTAGCTGAGGGACCTGGCGCAATACTGGTATCCATGGCAATGAGGTAGGAGTCTATGTCGTCATTCATGAAGTCATCAGGAGGGGGCGGAGGCGGCGGTGTGTGTGCTCTGAGGAGTGGAAGAGAAATATGATATGAATGAGGAACTCTCAGGCTGTACACTGAGCTGCACTGACAGTGACACCCACTTAGCATGTTCAAGTTTATTCAGAGTACAAAAAATTCAAACATATATATCTAAATAGAGTATATCTACTAATTCCGTTACTGTATTGTTCATCCGATTGCTTTCTATAGGATATATTCAGCATTTATCATATGGAGAAGCCACCCCACCTGGTGGATGAAGACACAAAAACACTAAAGTGTAAGTGTGTAAGGTCTACAAGTGAATGGGCTGGCCACAGATGGTTTAAAAGAGGCTTTAAAAATGGCAAGTTGCAGAAATCCTAACAGAAAACGCAGCATTTATGAAAGCTGTACATTGTAAGACTTCACCTTCTTGTACATTTTCCAGGACTAAAATGCTGTTTGTGTCAATTCGATGAGAGTTTCATCCCAAACTTTAATTCGACTGCATCTCTGCAGAGTATATGCTAAGGAGTTCCTGCCTTTCATTAGAAGTGAAGCCATTTCAATTAATTGATTTCATATACACTTTGTTCTGCCACCCGGCTTTAATGAGACTGGCTGACAACTGACTGACAAGAAAAAATTACAGCTTACAACAATGTATCTCATTTAATGCATTCAGTTATGTTTGAGCTTTACCGTCTAGAGTGTTTTTTACGGTGGTTGGAGTCATCAGAAAGCGTGGCCAACACAAAGTTCCCCTCAAGGACACTGTCTGTTACTGAAAGCACTACAGGGCTGACATACCACACACACAGACACACAAAATGTAAATGTCGGTACACTGTGGTAGTAAAAGTGATCAACCAACAACCGTATGTGAGTATGCTTACCTGCCCGGTTCATCAAAGTACATAGAAATAGGGAGGCCAGTAGACTCTGCAAACACTAACAAACCCTGCAGGAGAGATGACAAAAAGTCAATTAGCAAACCTCCGTGATGAATAAATTAACGCAATAAGTCTTCATTTAAATAAATTATCAACCACAGCATATTTGTCTCTTAATCCTCCTATTCTTTTTCTCTGTCATCCCCTCTTCTGTCTCACCCGTAACTCCTTCAGACAAAAGGTGACGCTGTTTTGAGCTTGGACAGCAAATTCGTCAAATTCGTCTGAAGCCAGACACAGCTCTGTCAGCATGGCCTTGGACTGTTCTGAGAGGGAAACGGGCAGCGAGAGGAACAGAAAGAAAAGCAAGAGTGAACGGAGGGCAAAAGCAGAGGCAAGTTTCAAAACTAAAAAAATTATACAGTATTATATTGCCAAGACTACACAGTGCAGTTCTGCCTGTCTGCCACACAAGGGCACCACAAGGTTCATATCCATCTTCTTTCCATTAAAAAAAAAAATTATTTTATTATAGTATGTTCTTATTATGTGTTTTTTGTAAAACAAAGCTAATTTTAAAACACAATGACCTTTTACACCTATACTGACTGAATGCACAACTTGAAACTTTACCCTGTCACCCTGGTACACTAAAATCTTCTTGATTCTAAATTACTTGAATATCCAGTCTGACATCAGTAAGATTTGTATAAATAAACAGTGAGTTTGTATCTGCTGGGTGAAAAGAAGTCACCTGCTTCATCCTCCACATGGTTCCTGATCCACATCCGCTCATCGCTCACTGACACGGTCACTTCTTCCACAGACGGAGGGAAGTGCACAACTGTGTCCACCAGCAACCTGGCATCAAGGGGAAAACAAAAAGTGAACTGTGAGACACATAAAGCACATTCGAATATTGGTAATAGTGGCATCTTTTAAATGAGTTGATTTCCTAGTCACTGCTGTGTTATGATATTAATAATAATAATAATAATTTGTCAGAGGCAGGATCAGAAACATTCTGGACCTCAAATGCAAAAAGGACTGCTGCGAGTGATTATCTGAAACACTGTACAGTCACAGAATCTAACAACAGTCTCTAATGTTAGTTTAAGCCATTCTCTCACTCATATAATACACAGCTGTTAAAGTAAACAGAAAATATAAAACAACTGAAGGTTTGATGGTGCATGGTGTAACGCTGTGTTACAATGACAGCAGCGGTCTAAAAATTACTTTTAACACGGGGGCGATGAAGAAACACTGTAACACTTTAAGGGACTACTACTAACATAAACACAATCCTCGTGTTAATCATTTTAATATATTCAATTCAATTTTTTTTTTTCCAATTTATATAGCGCCAAATCACAACAACAGTTATCTCATGCTTGTGTGGGGACAAAAAATAAGCAGTAAGTGTTCGTGTGATAAGCCATTTCCAATTGACAGCTAACAGAGCACCATATTGTGTCTCTGTCTAAAATACTCGCAAACGTTAAATGGATGGTCGTAGCCGAGACTTTATAGTTGCAGCTGAGCTTGTTCTTTGTGAGAACGAAACAGTGGGAATCCCTGCTGTCACTGTGCGCAGTATGCGTCAACGCACGTTATGCAAATCAATGTGGTGTGTGATGGATTATGTCGATTACGGCTATAAGTCGCCCCAGCCCTGGCTGTGAGGAAAGACAGAATGAAGTGAAGTAAAAAAAAAAAAACAACAGACTATTTGTGTGGATGGGCCTGTGTTACAGTTTGTTAAAGTGGTGATTCCACATTGGCTTCAATGCAGGTTCCTCTCTGACAACAGTTGGATCATTTCTCTTCATTTGGAAATTTTATTTATTTATTTAATCAGCCAACTGTAGGCTAAAAAAATCTGTATCTGCACTAATCGTTCCATATTAATCATCATATCACCAATGAAAAGGCAACAGGAAAACCAAATGTTAAGGAGGGGGTGACAGAAAGAGAAAGAAAGACTGTCAGATTATTTTTATAACAAAGAATGTAGAAAGACTGTACTGACCTTGGCTGGGATCTGAATACATTTACACAGCTGTCTTTATCAAATACAGCCTGTAAGCTTTCGCTGTCCTGGAAAGACAGGTTATGTGTCTTCAGGAGGCCTGCAGAGAAAATACCGACACACTTTCAATAGACAAACACTCAATGCAATACAATGCAATGAGTGAATGGTGTGCTACAGGTAATACAATATGTGTCATTGTAAATAAAATGTAATACTTTTTTAATCAACCATGTAAACCATTTAAGAAGGAAGTGGAGCACTGATACCATGTTTGCAGTGTAGGGTAAAGGTGAGGCGGTTCTTCTGCTCATCCAGCTGGATGTGACACTTTTCCACTGTCTTCTCCAGGGACGCTAGAGACCTGAATACGGCCTGCACACTCTGACTCACAGGGACACAAGAAAAGGGAAAATAAATATACACAAGGGGACAGGACTATGACTATGTTAATATGCACTGAAATATTCTGGTATTAACCCAATGAGGCTAATACTCTACACTGAAGCTGTGATGAAAACAACATTTGTCACATTTAATGACATTGTAGACATACACCTTACTAAAACTATAACCTGTGAGTTTCCGCTTGGATAACATTTTTTATACATGACAATTCAACTGCTTGGTGACACATGAACTACCCTGTGAAATGACTGACATGTACAAATGTTAAAACAAGGAAGCACGGAGGTTAATAAAAATTTGCACAACAATAACGACAAGGCTGTACCATCATAACAACATGACAGGAAAGATAGCGTTTGAGGTGCGTTGAGTACAGAAAAAAACTCTTAATTATACTCATTAACTGGGCTCTCCTCTGAATCATATAAATGGCATCAGTGATTCTCAACCACGGGTACTTTGACTTGTACCCCATTTGCATTATATTTATTGTCACAATAACCAATAAACTACCAGCTACATAATCTAGCTGCACACTTCCACTAACCTTCACCAAGCTTCTGCCTCTCAGAGCAGTAGTATGATACAAAAGAAGGCAGGGAACCACTGACATAGATGATTAGAGTCCGTGTAAATGTGTCGAATATGAGACAAACTGTATAAAGCATTAGAAGAACTCATAGCTCATCTCTTTGTCTCAACACACCTTTATTGCCATCTTGCAGCGGAAGGTGTGCCCACTGGGGATGGTGTACCTGCACAAGAAAAGGGAGGGCAAGTTGGCTTACAACTCCTGGACATGACACGCATAAATGTGATGATCAGTGACTCACTCTCTCACACACACACACACATCACTGTGCCGTTTATACACACGCACACAGTCTGCACCTGTTGAAGAAGAGTGGTGTGAACAGGAAGCAAGCATATGCCGACCGAGAAGAGTTCACAGACCGCAGGGCCAGCTACAGGAGAGAAAAAAAACAAAATATGCACTGTTCATTAACGCAAACTGTGCACCAACAGGAAGCATAAAGACTATGTGCATGTCAGGAGGAAGTGCTGGTGTATGATGGTATCAGAGCAGCGCACCCCGTCTTCCTGAGGCTCCACATACAGCTCATCACCGATCCTGGACAGAGAATGGATGGCTTTGGCCAGCACTGGACGGTACATACACACATAGATACACAACACGATTAACTATTAACAGCTAATTATTATCATATAACGTCAAAGTTAAAGGTAGGACTGAAAAAACAGGAAGTGTTTGCAAACCTTTGACGTTTCCTCCCGTCACGACGCAGTCCATTTCTACAAACTAAGTTAAATAACGTTACTAACTTACTTTTCCGTTAGGTTAGCAAACTTGGCTAATGTTAGCCGAAACTAGCGGTTAAATACCATAAAGAACTAAACCGGTGGGGGTTGTTAGGTTGCACCCCGAGCAGAAATCCTCCTACATGCTCCGTTTAATTATAGCTTTATTTTCAGGTTTTATTTTCTGCAGCGATTTGACTAAGCAGTATCTTGCTCCGAACTTTGCGTTGTTTACGCCGCCATTACCCGCTTCCGCAGCGTTGACCAATCAGAAACTCAGAGAGTAAAAGGGGCGTGGTTCTAACTAAAGCATGCGCAGTGGGATTCTAAATTGACATTTTACAGCAGTATGTTATGTGCATGTGTTTAGGGACAATCGGCTTTGTTTTAAATAAATGATGATGGAATATTTGATATGGCATTATTGAGGACAAAGAAAATTATAATGAATGTCATATTAATGGTTATTAAGTTAATTATTCTATTTAAGTAGGCTACTTTATGTCAGTGTTGGAAGGTAACAAAATACATCTTCATATCAAGTACTGTAGTGTAACTCTGAGGTACTTGACTTCTGTATGTACTTCAGTATTTACACTTCATACACATTCAACTTTATTCTTTTACTTTACTGCAGTTCAGAGGCAGATATTGTACTTTTTACTCCATTACAAAACATTTATCTGACAGCTGTAGTTAAATTCTGAACATATGATCATCTTAAAACATATGATGCGTTTTTATAAATCAAATTCAACAGAACATCAATTATTTAAAATTAGGGCCACCACAACCGGCAACGTTAAAATACTGCTTACACATTAATTAATCTAGTAAAGTACTAATACTTTTGTACTTTTACTTTCGTAAAGCTCTTGAATGCAGGACTTTTACTTGTAACAGAACATTTTTACATTGTAGCATTGCTACTTTTACTTAAGTAAATGATCTCCTCTCCCACAACTGCTTTATACACAAATAAATTGGTCAAATCACCCCCATTGATAAACATCTTTGTAAGTGAATTTTCTTCATATGCCAGAAAATAATTATCAAGCTCAAAAACTCAATATTTTGTATTTATTTATTTTATATTTCTTCATTTTAGCTGACGCTTTTACCAAAGCAACTTACAATTGCTATATATGTCAGAGGTCTGGGGCAACTAAGGGTTAAGTGTCTTGCTTAGGGACACATTGATGGAGCGTCACAGTGGGGAATTGAACCCGGGTCTCTCACACCAAAGACATGTGTCTTCTCCATTGCTCCATCACCACTGCATAATTATTAAAATGTATTAAATATATTTATAGCTACATTGTTATTGTTATGCTTATTATTTGGTTTCTGATAAGTATTTTAAATGACCAAATTTAAATGACCAAAGACCTCCTTTTGTTTGACAAACATTGTAAAATGTAGTGGGAATTTGAAAAGGTGGGTAGGCAATATAATATGTAATAACTCTAGCCGGAGGTAATCCAAACAAACACTTTCAGAAATAAAGTACAGTGTCATGTTAAAGGATCATATTTTATTCCTAAGACAACAGTAAAGACCTGTTTATACATTTTATTTGTTCAAAGTTCCTATATAACGGATTATTCCAGAGGTCATGACTGGTATTTTCATATTTCTTTCATTCTGAAGACATATAAATAGCAGCTAGTCACTAAAAAATGCCCTGTAATTACGACTCAACGGTCATGGTGGGAAGAAAGAGGGTGTGTGTACACATCTGTGAGCCAGGAAGAGAAATGGGAAGGAAGGGAGGGCAAGATAGATAGAGAGAGAGAAGGAGAGTCACTGTCAATGCACAATTATCTCACCTCACTGGTCTTTCTCGTTGTTCTGCTTCAGTGTGTAAGATCTGCGAAATGCTGCCTTGCGTCGTTTACCCTGCCTTCACCGGTGATATAAATGGCTGTTGCTGAAGAGGTGCGTACTAAAACTACAGATATTTGGTGAAAGAAAGTCACAAAAAGAGAGAGCCTGCTCCTAAAACTTTCGAGGATTATTATGGACGAGTGGAGGCAGTGTGACAGCGGAAAACATCCCTGAGAAGGAGCAGCCTACACAGAGTGAAAGAAGAATTTCTGTCCTAGCTAAGGTCTGATCTGTCTTGATATTTGTGGTGAGAAACTGGATAAAAAGACTGGAAAATGAAAAACAGAGGGAAACAACCATCACAGGAGTCTTAACAACAAAAGTTGGATAAAGGGGTGATTCTTCTGTCATGGTCTGCTGTCTCTAAAGCAGCACATTAAAAAAGACTCTGTGTCCATACCTGTTTAGTGGACTATATTTACATTTAAATGCACTCATTGTTGACACGCTTTTCTGCGACTTTGATGCACGGCAGTTCTGTTCATAGATGTCTCAGTCAAGTGATCCACCAGACACTCAGGCCTTGCTGCAGTCCATGCTGCAGAGACTGAAGCTCCATCCGGGAAGAGAAAGCCAGGCACACCTGCATACACCTGTACCCATCAGTACCGCCTCCACATGGGGGCGAGGTGGAGAGAGAGGAGTCTCTGACTTCCAGAAAGTCAACAACAGTCCTGTAAATTGCTTTGAGTTTGGTACTAATTGTAGCACCGCAAAAGAGTTTGGGATCTCTGCTGCAGGCGGTAACGGTGGGGAAATACAACAACGAGGTCATGACTTTGAAATGGACAGGGGTCTCATTTCCTTCTCCACTCAGAAAAACAGCACTAATGGTGACACGGGTGAGAACAGGGTGTTGGGACAGGCTGCACAGCCTGGGATCAACCCAACAGGTACAGGGCAGCTGTTTCCTGTGAAATCAGTTAAGGAGGCTGATATCACTTCCTTTAAGATGACTGATGACAAGAGGGTGAGTTTAGGCAGCTCTGCAATGTCGAGCCATATCCCTAGTAATAAAGATGCTGTAACAAACATGGGACAGAATCAGGACCAGGACCAGGGTTTTCCACACAAAGTCTACACATGGTCCTTGAAGCCCACAGATGCAAATCTTGACATCAGAAGTCAAGAGAATAAAGTGTTCCATGTGGGAAATGGAGGATTTGGAGCTTTGGCACAAAGTAAAGACATGCAGATTGTCCCGACTGGCCAAGAAACAACAAATAGCAGCTCTCGAAGAAAACAGCGTTCGTCTGAGAACAAAACGAGGAGATGGACGCAGAAGATCAAAGAGAGATGGAAGGACAGGCAAGGGAAATTTGGCAAAAAGGGAAAAGAAGAAGAATGGAAGGAAGACCAGAAGATTGAGCAAGCAACTAAAGTGAGTAGTGCGTTGTGATTATACTTATTTTCTATCAAAATTGAAGCTGCTAACAAAAATTTTGTTTCACAGTTTTCACCTCAAAACCAGCCTATGACAGAGAAAAATCACTTTAACACACCGAATAAGGAGAAAGAAAGTAACCTCCCTTCACTACACAGTAGTGACTCCAGTAAATCCCCTCCGACACACTTTGAAGATGGACAAGGAGGACAAGGATATACGAGGTAATAAATTTTTTTAAATACACCAAAACCATTACTGAGGTGAGCACGACACAGGCTGAAAGTTCTCGCTGTCAGGTTTTGTTGATTTGTCTCTCAGCCCTAAAGCAAGACAAGAAAGATATGTGTGGTATTTCTGTCACGTTTCCAACCATAGCTGTGATATTAGTTTGGGCTGATATTTGTTCCCTCCGATGTGCCAAACACTCCCCTGTTACTGACAGTGCCTGACATCAGCCATTTTCAGTCACACTTTCACATTGTGAGAAGTCCCATGAGATTTTCACAACATCAGAGATGATCACTGGTGGAAGAAGTATTCAAATGCTTTACTTAAGTAACATCAGTAACACCACAATGTTTAAAATACTATCAACAAAATGTACTTTCAGTAACAAAGGCAAAAGTACTCATTATACATGCAGAAAGGCCCTTGTCAGTGTTATATAATTATATATTATAAAATCACTGATGCTCTAATGTGTAAACTGCATTTTAATGTTGGTGCTGGTCATGGGTGAGCAGAGGTTACATACTGTTAGCTTTATTTACTATAGTAATGCATCTTATTTTATATACTTATAAATTTTTTAAATCTGTAAAGTAACTACTAGCTATAGCTGTCGAATAAACGTAGTGGAGTAAAAAATACAACATTCCTAATTGAAATACAATTGAACTGAAATGTAGAGTAGAAGTATAAAGTAGCCTAAAATCGATACTCAAATTAGTCTTTCTTTCAATACTTTCAACTTCCTTACACTCGGCCCAAAAGCCCCTTTGTTCCTACCATAGACATACATCTTTAAAAACAAGTGACAAACATATAGTTTCATTTAAAAAAGGCTCTGTCAATACTTCCCAGCTGGGCATTTTATGTAAATATTACTTAGGTAGGAGCAAGTAGTGCATTTGTTGGGGACTATTTTCAGCTGTGGAGGAATACACTTTTTGTGCTCTACTGCAGTGATTCCCAACCAGCGGCTCCTGTACTCTAGAGGCATCTTCTGCACTTGCTATTGGAAAGATTGTTGAGTAAAAAAATATTAAAAATTTAGTTAAAAAAAAAATTCCACATATTTGTGTTTAGGAGAAACATAAACACACAAATATGATTACAAATGGGTATGCTGATCTTTAGTATTTATTGTCACAATAACCAACAACAGTCACAATGATGAGATGTGTCTATGAAGGGGCACTTCATATAGCTCATCTGATTGGGCTGTGGGGATAGTTAAGAGAAGAAAAGTTGGGAGGGAGCCACTGCTCTAGTGAGTATGTAGGGCACCAGGACAGTTTACGTAGGGCTGATTGTTCATTGTAGTGAAGGAACATGTCATCTTGAAGGTGTTGCCTATTATTTGTGTTTTTGAAGTAAATCAGGCTTTGGTTACACAGAAATTACTTGGTAGTAGGATGACTTCATTGTTTGTTTTGGTCTTTTCATGTGATTTGTTTGGAATAAGAAAATGTATCCTCGTCTGAATCAAGAGTTAACACAAAGAGGGAGTCATATGTTGCATACATTGTGAAAGTAAGTTCCTGACCGCATTTATGCACTGCACTGAGTTTACAGAATCTTTTCTCTTGTGGCAGGTCTGGTAGTGACTTTGAGTTTGGCCTGGGCTCATTTAGCTTATTGGAGGAGATCGTCACAGGTCAAGAGTGGGCCAAGTTCCTAAACCCCAACCAATCAGTCACCTCAGCAAATCAGAGACCATCAGAAGAGCAGCTGAGCCATCTCAACATCCCTGCAAATCCTCACGACAGCGGTCAATCATCTGTGATTTTGAACCAACAAGGAGGTGTGAACAACCAGTGGAGCTTCAAGGGCACTGAGGCATCAGGAGTTTCAAATTTCAGCACGGCACAAACATCACCTGATACTTTCCAACCTGTCGGCATGGACATAACAGAAGAAAAACAAGCTGGAGTACAGGATGCTCAGTCAGAACCAATGGAGCATGGACATATCCGCAGACCTCCCTCGTTTACAAAGGTTAGAGTCACTATTTAAACAAAAATCATTTAAGAGGTTCCTTTAATTCATATCAATACAAGGGGCCAAAGTAAAAACACCCAAAAGCACATTTGTGAAACTCTAGCGTTTGTATTTTTTAATGAATTTTACTTGTACTTGTGTGTTGGTCACCCTGTTATCTGTTTGTATTTGCAGCCTGCAAATATTGCGATCAACTCAGCGCCAAAGAGCAGACTCCAGCTCAACAGAAAGAGACAGCATCAGTCAGCTGAGAGGCTTCAAACTGAGGATATCAGTGACGGTAAGGAGGCAGACAGGGGTCAGAACAACTTAATGCTCTGCACAATCAGATATTTCAGGCATCTGAGTTGACAGAGGTTGTTGTAGTTGCTGCTGCTGATATGGCTGAAATTATGTTCTTTAGAAACTCAGTTCTCTTGTCTCTCATCTCACAGAGCGGCCCTCATCTTCACTAAGCCTGACAAGCAGCCATGTGATGGAGACAGGAGAGTCGCACCATGATAAAGTCATGCCTTTATACATCCTTAACTCTTCTCCTCCGCCTCTATCTTCATCTCCTTCTACTCCTTTTGCTCCTGTACCCAGGGGTGTCCTCAAACACTCCATATCCCAGAATTCCAGAGAATTGCCAGAGTCTTCAATGGAAATAATGACAAAAAGGGTAAGTTTAAAAACAGTAATTGTGTATAACGCTGCCTCCTTGTGGTGTGAATAGAAAAAACGCCATCTACACAGCATGTCTGTGTCTCAAACTCCATTTGAGTAGGTAGTGTGGTGACATACTCAAAAGAGTCATTGTTCAGATATAAAAAAACCTGACTTTTGAGTGTGCTGCTGACGCTATTCTCCCATAATGCAATGCACAATGGAACCGGAGGAGTTGGAGGCAAATGGCTCTAGAAAACTACTGATAATTACTTTTATTTGATACAGTGTTGCAGTTTGATTGCCTTTGCATGACAAATGTATTCATAAAAGCTAACTGCAAAAAACTACAGATTAATATACACTGTATCCAGTTAGTGAGTACTGTAGTATGGAATTGGAAGATGTCGTATGTTGCAGCTACGTAGATGAGGTTAAAGTGGCTATGGACTGTAGATCTTGTGATTGTGAGATTTATTTATTTTTTTCATACACAATGCTAAAAAGAAACATATGTCTCAGACAGATGGTTATAAAGTTTATAGATGAAATTTTCAGGTTTTTTGAATATTGGTTTATTGTTTTATTTGTTTATTAGCAGATGCCGAAGCAATCGGCTGATCTTTCTGGGGTCCACAGCTGACATACTTTACATAACACATTACATTAAATTGCATTAATAAAACCACCTCAATACTTTGTATTAATATTTTACAAAAAAGAAAAAAGAAAAGTGCATCTATACAATTCAAAACATTCATATATAATTCAAGCTAGTCACCACTGAACATACAAATTAGGTAGAATACTGATTGGAAAAGATGATATTTGAAAGAATGAGAATTCTTATGAAACTATGTAATTTGGTACTAATTGTAAGGAAAACTAGTAATTCCCTTAAAAGAAAAGCTTAATAAAACCCATTTAAATATTAATTCATTACTCTTTTTTATTTTAAACTTTATATATGTACAAATTTGAGAGTTGAAAGTTGAAATTGAAATAACTTTCTAGGTTAAACTTGCAATTAAATGTAATAGACTGATTAAAACTATTAGTAAATTGTTTAGAAATAAAAGATTCCTTAAATAAAGTATTACCGAAATATTGAGTGATCAATGTCACATAGCCCAAATATAACACTTTAGAAAGATTATGAAGTAAATATGACATTTTATTAACTATTTTTTTTTCTGCTGTTTTCTATTTGTCTTTCCTTTTTTTTTAATTCCATTCATCTTACTTTGGATCAGAGGCGAGTTGAGGAGAACCGACGGGTTCGTTTTTCGGAGGAGGTGGAGACCATAGCGCTTCCAGAGCAGGATCTGGATCTTACAGACTCAGAGGAGGATTCAGGAGCGGATGAGGACTCTGTGATAGAACAGGAGTTTGAGGTGGAGCAGGCAGCAATAGAGGTGGTGGCACCACCACGCCGGACTGCTCTCCCTACCTGGATACTCGGTCTGAAGAAGAGGAACACTGGGAGGAAGCACAAATAGTGAAACTGCAAAGATTTGAATTTAGTCTCACAAACATGTCTTAAAAAAAAGGAATGAACAAAAATCATCTGGGTGTGTTTTTGAAAACCCTGAAACATGTTCATTGCATCATAACCTCACCTTTTGGGGATTTTTTCCCCCTACTTGGCTTGTCAGAAATATGCTTTTAAGACTTATAAGACAACTAAATATTATGTTAAGGTGAGGATTTTCTGCAGACAGACGGTTTGCTGACTAGATTTCTGTCTGGACACTTAAAGCCACCTCTTTGTGGAAGTGCTCCTCGTCTCTCTTGAGACCACCACATGTCAGACTTCTTTAAGCGTCACTTTTAATTTAAGAGGATTGCTTTTTTTTACCCTTTACAGTTTCCTGTGTCCATGCTGTCCTCTCCATCTATTTCGACTGGATTATGTCCTGACATTCTGGCATCAGCTGCATAAGTGTTTAGAGTAAATATTTTACCACCATCTTTTTAACAGCTTTTACCATTAATATTGTATTGTCATCCTGCTGTCTGCTTCACTGGCTCACTCTGTCTCTTGTTAATGGCTCCCTGTCCAGCCATCCTAGAAATTATCTCCAGAAGAGAAGAGAGACAAGCAGTGGCCGCTGCAGACTATTAGTGGTTTCTGACGGTCTGCAAATCTCTGCAAAAATGTTGAAACCATATTTTAAAGTTGAGTTTTTACTCTGAGTCATTATTATTGTCATCATCAGGGCTCACATCAGTCATCCTTTATAGGATAGTACGCCCTGACAACATTAACCACCTCTGTTTAAGCTGTTACAGACTAGGCCTGTAGCCCATTAAAGGAATAGTTCACAACATTTTTGGAAATACGCGCATTCACTTTCTTTCTGTGAGCTAGATGAAAAGATAGATACCACTTGTATGTCCATGAGTGTGTGTGTGTGTGTGTGTGTGTCATTTTTACACAGTTTTTTGTATGGATTGAACTAATGGAGAGATTAAAGAGATATATCTTAATTTGTGAATTTTATGTGCTGGTAGGTGAATTTTGTTCTTTGTGTTATGCTAAGCTAACTTACTGCAAGTGGTAATGTAGCTTCCTATTTACCATTCAGACATCAGTGATATCATCTCTTTTAAGTTACCACCCTAACTTCTTATTATCCTGGACAATGGTTTTTTTTAATTTGTAGATCACATTTTTAAAGTGCTTCACAAAGGCAAAGAAAACATTTGAAAAAACATTTTAAGGAGTTGTGGAAAATCACCCACATTTTGCCTACATTGTCTCCCCTACATGAAAAACTAGATAACGTACGCACTGCTTTCCATGTTTCACAATAGCACACAAATCTGGCCTTGCTTGGCCTTTAAATGCTGTTCTAGTTGTCAGAAACTATTTGTTTATTCTGTCCAAAGCTTCAATGAGTGACCAGAAGCTTTATTTAGAGAGATATAGTACCTCATGGCACTGTCTATCATTTCCATTTTCTGTCATGCATTATATTGATTTGTGTGATTAAATTAGTTCACCAAACATTATGGCTAACTGCTGTCCTTTCCTCTGTGGCCTCCTTCTTCTCCCGTAAATCACTGTCAGAGCCATTAAGAGGCACTTTAGCTGATCTATTAGTGGTGGTGGGAAGGGGGGGGGGGGGCAGACAGAGGAGGACATTAAAATGTACAGTATGTGTGTGACAGAAAGAGAAAGAAAGAGAGAGAATTGCCTAAATGTGGGAGTAAACCAGAGAAAAGAAACAGAGAATGTTGGATCCATTTTGAATTGTCTGGACAAAAAAAAAAAAGAGTAATTACATTAGTCCATCAGTCTACAGTAGCTCCTACCCTGTGTCATCAGCCAGAAGTGGACTAATAATGGCCCATTTGTAAACCTCAAGCCACACACACATTTATCCCACTGCTGCCCTCTCCCATAACACACACACACGCACGCACACCACATTACTGACCCTATCTTTACAGCATCAGCATACTCTGTAGTGCTTTTATTTGCACATTTGAAAGGCAGCTGGTGAGTGTGTGCACATGACAAGAAAGAGAAATACTCAAATGTTAGCGCAAATAGTTTATTCTCAGCACTATTTTTCATATTAAATATGTTTTTTTGAATTCTGCCGCCTCGTGTGAGCAAAGCTAACTGAACATGAGAAGAGCATTTATTGAGCTTTAATATTTTGCCAGACAAACTGGAGGTTGCAGTTATAGTTAAGAAGTTGTAAAATGTCTTGTAAAATGAGACTGCTTACAATAAAATAACATTTTTACTTCTGGTTGTTTCCCTCCCTCCGTTGAATGACTGTAGTTGTAGTTATACTAAGAGTGGACCATTCATTGAATTTCATCTTAAATCCTTCTCAGGGGAACTTGATTGTTGCTAATCAGGAGGCTACAGTGTGCCAGCTATTGTCATGAGCTGCAAGGCTGTAGTTCTTTTCTTCTGACTCCTGCTTGTAGTTGCGAAATTGTGAAGACGACAGGCGAGGCAATAAGGGAAAAAGAAAAACAGGAATGTCCATTTCTTCAGATTATTGTCAGTCAGATGACTTGGTCAGCGGTACCGAGGGAAAGAGCTCCAGAGTCACAGGAGCTCTTGATACCTGGCTTGAGTGACAGCTGGCTGCCAGGGCTCTGAGCCACTGATGCTTCTATCTGAGCCTCCGACACCTGGAGGCAGAAAAACAATGACAATCTGTGATAAAGCTCACCTGGACTCAATGTCTTGGTCAAAGCCACTCTGCCCTTACTGTCAATAGTCAAATGTGTCCAAGTATATTACTGTATTATAAAAAAATGCATCACCTCTTCAAACTTCTTGGCTTTGTACTGATCTGCCCCTTTCAAGAAGTTCAGTAAGATAATGTCACAGAGAACTGTACCCTGTCGACACAGATAAAAGAAAGCTGTAGGCGACAAGACAAATAAATTTTTTTTTATCATCTTTAGCCTGATCAGAAATTCCTACCAGTCCAACAGAGGTGAAGGCAGCTACCAAGTTGATCAGTGTTGGGATTGTGTCAAACTTCCCTGCCTAGAAAAGACAGATATTACAATGGAGTCAGTTTAGGTGACATAATGTATAAACACTACCAGATAGAAGTGTTCTTTCCAGAATTTTTACATTAAACAATAATAATATTTCCTTTTTTAGAACAGTGTTTTGTTTATTGAAAAGCACATACATTTTTAAAGATGATGATATCAATATACATTTACAGTCACGGATGGAGATTTTAAAAGGGCTATATGTAGTTTTTCAATTAAATCACATCAATAAATAAGTTTTTTTCTGCCTATTTGTCAACGGGCTGTAACCTCACATAGATATTAAGCACACTCCTGTTTTCTCTGTTGCTTGAAATGGCCACTATTCTGCTTCTTATGTGAAGGAATCAGGTTGGGCGCTCCCGAGCCTCTTGCCTGTTACAGCGACAACACCGCAGCTAATGTTAGTAGACTGCCTGTCAGTCCACTAAAACCACAAAACGACCAGCTCTCAGCACAACACAGACTCCAACACACACTCCACGTAAGGATAAAAACAACAACAAAGTTTTATGCGCTGAAACCCATCAGGCCAAACGAGAATCAAATCGATGTCGGGTGAAAACACGGTCAACATGAGAAAGACTTAAGTCACGGAGAGACCTCTGCTTTGTTTTGGAACCAACAAATCCGACCCAGGGTTGTCTTTCAACCTATAGGAGAGGCAAACTAACATCACTGCAAAGCATGTGAAATAAATTGTGATGTTGTGTATTAGTTGGCTCAAGTCAGGTAACAGCAGTGCTAACATTATTTGGTGCAAAATACTGAAGTTCTATGGCTGGCCATATTACTTCACCAGCTAATACAATCCATTTTACTATCCTGTGTACCACTGGTATTATGTCAAAGTGTTGATATTAGCCTGCAAGAAATGAAGTAAGGGTACACAGCAAATGTGGAGTGATATGTTTCACTCATCTATAGTGATGCAAGGCAGGGGCAGCCAGCTGTTAGCATGGATCCGATGCTGTTTGCTTCATAACGTTCAATTTATTGACGCTTTCAGGTTCACAGCTTCTTCACCCGTCTCAGTCACTGTAACTTACTTGGCCCACATAATAAACAACTATGCAACATAACGGCGCAAGACAACACCACAGTGCAAGACCAATTTAGTAGAGTAATGTTACTAACTACAGTCTAACTCTTATAAAGTGGGGCAACAATCTCATTTATAAAACTCAGTCCTGCTCACTAACTGTTTTCGTTATCATCCAAAACATTTAGCTGTGCTGACATTGCTGCCTCTCTGGTGAAAGAAAACAAATAACATTAGTTCCTGAAAAACAGGCAGGCTAACTTACGTCAGCGTATCACATTGGCTAAATGCAGTCTATGTAAAGTTATCATGTAACAATCATGGATTAGTTCAACCTCAAGATGATAAAAATTTCACTGTAACATTGCAGTGGGAGATTACATGAGTTTCCAGAATGTTGCGTGAAGCCAGTGAGTCTGTCTATGTGTGTCGGATTCTGCTCGCTCATGAGTTCTAGCACGCGTATGAGCACACACATGGTTGCAATCTAAAAACCGCACTGCTAGTAGCCACTGAAAACTACAAATAGCCCCTTTAATTAAGATCGATACCACTCTCACGTTTGTACAGTAAATATGAAGCTACTGCCAGCAACTGGTTAGCTTAGCTTGAGGACTGGAAACGGGGAAACAGCTAGATTTAAAAATTCCCAGATTGACACGATTTCACACAACTCACACTGCCAGTGACCATAACATCAAAGCGGATAGCAAATGCTTTGTGAAGTGTCCGAAAATCAGTCCCGTTCTCTGTCTTGAAATATTTGGCAAATCTGCATTCAAAGAGAAGACAAAAAGTGACCAAAGATAGAAAAGGAATAAAAAGATTGAGTTCACATCCAAGAGGAAAATCAGCCTTGCTACCTGAAGTTGTAGCCACTGGAGACGTCATTCTTGGCAAATGGTGTGTCCAGTCGTGTAAAAGAGTACCTTGGTACACAGTATTCAATGTTCAGGTCCAGGTTACACTTCCACTGAATGTTTATTCCTATTTCTCCACCCTAAAAGAGAAGGGTGATGAAAAGAGAGGGTCACCTTGAGCACTACACCTGTAAGTATGTGGTCAATAAGAGCGTACCCACTAGTGTTCAGAATAGATTTATTTTAATTGGGTTTATCCTTAATGACAGTACAACCCTCCTGCTCCGATTTCAATGCATGTCAACAAAACCTTCACTGTGTGTAGTTTCCTGTGCGGTTACAACATTTTAGCCTTGAGGATGAAGAGTGTGGAAATTTTGAGGCGAAAGAGGAGGAAGAAAGAGATGGAGAACAGATAAGACCTTTCTTGCCAGGGCAGAAACGTTCTGTCCGGTGTAGCGCAGCACGTCTCCCACACGAAAGATGGGGCAGAAAGGGTTCGTATCCGGATGGTAGATACATTTCTTGATCTGTGCAGACGTCATTGTGTTGGGAAAGTTCCCTCTGAGAGAGAATTTCATGTTTATGATCAAATGATGTAGTTCTTTAAAACTTCACATATTTTCCACAGGGGTTGCACACATCCATATACTGTGACGTCCATTTTGAGAATGTGTGCGCACGCTTCCGTGTGACCTACCGGGTGACATTGAAGAGTGGAAAGCGAATACTGTTCTTGATGAAGATGGTGAAGTTGTTTACATCCAGCATCGGTGTGCTGTGGAGGATGGGGTGAGGTGAGAATGAAAACGGAAGTTTTTAATGACAAAGCATACAGTATGTGCATGTATGTGTGTGAGTAAATGTTACCTCTCGACAGAGTCGTCCTCTGCTGGACACCATCCTTCAATCTCGCACTGACCCATTGAGTCATTGGAGGGTTTAAGGCAAACACCTGTTATTATGCCTGTTGTGTCAGACAGAAGGAGAGGATAGTTAAAGGCAGACACTCATTGTTTTTTGGGGAAATTATCTGGCTAATACGGTGCATTTTTGTGTGTGTGAAATATTTTCACCAATTACATATCTTTTGGAGTGTGTGAATGTGGAAAGATGCTACTTACTTCCTGGTTTTTAGCTTCTTGCTCTTTGTTTGCTGACTGGACGAACTAACTTATCAGAGTCAACAATGATCCATATGACTTACCAGAACGTTACACTGAACAATGGTTATGTATACCCTAAGCTAATTTTAAGCCACTATGTATAGGATTTAGAAAACGTTTTACTTTGACCTGGTGGTGGTATCAAGAATTCCACAGCATCCCCATAAATCTCACACATAGTCTAGATATTCAAGAGCCCCTTTAAGTTCACTTTTTTTTTTATATGTTATAAACTGGCTTTGCATGTTCAGGTAACATCGTGACATCTACAGTAAAGAAGGGAGTAGAAAGAACAAGTTAGACTCACCATTGTAACGGACGGAGCCAAACTCCTTGTGACAGTCTTCATCTGTACTACAATTAAATTTCTTCATAAACACACACACACACACACACACACACAC